TTTTTCCATGATACAACGCACCCTCTACCGGGTCAAAACTCTGGTAGTGACGATAGTCATTGTAACCCCTTTATGGAGGGCCCAGACCTGGTTTCCAACTCTTCTGGAACTATCCGTGAATTATCCAATTTTATTGCCTCAGTTCCCCTTGACATCCTCAAGAATCCGGCGGGGGACTGTCACCCACTCGCTCTTCAGGAAATACTCCAGCTAGTTGCCTGGACCGTTTCAGGGGATCCTGGAATGCGTCAGGACTTTCGACAACAGCTCAGGCTCTCATATGGGACTCTTGGGCACCAGACGCGGCTACCTCTATGCATGGCAGACATGGGTCAGCTGGTGTTTGGAAAGGAATATCTATCCCTTTTCAGCACCTCTCACAGCCATTCTAAATTTTCTATCCACCCTTTTTGATCAAGGCAAATCCTATATGTCGATTAAATGTTTCGATCCGCTATTTCAGCGGCTCACAACTCTATTGACAACGCCTCCATAGGTAAACACCCCTCTGTTTGTAGACTTCTAGCCAAGATACTAAAGCTTCTGGGATGTCACCCAGGTCTTCGACTTCTTGGAATCTTGGCCTCCCATTGAGGCTTTGACGCTACGGCAACCTTCGGCCAAGCTGGCGTTACTCCTATGTTTAGTTTCCTTTCGTAGGGTTTCGGATATCCGAGTGTTTGACCTTCATGCTGTAGTTTTTACACCTGAAGGAGTTAAATTTAACATCACTAGATGCACAAAAACTAATTATTCTTCGGTCTTCTATCCTTTTCCGAACAGAATAGCTCTGTGCGTAGCGCGGTGTTCAAAACTACATTGACTCCACGCCAAGACTATGCCCCCCACTACGGGACCTCTCCTGGTTTCCTACATCAAACTGCACAAACCGGTCTCCACTCCTACTGTCGCACGATGGATCAAATGGATCCTCATCCAAGCAGGCATTAGCTGTATCTTCTATCATATAGGAGCGTTAAAACAGCAAATATGAAGCCTCCTGTCTTGCCATAAAATTAAGGATTATTCTAGGTTTAGTGACCGAATAATCTAAATTTTATTAACGACAGAAGGCAAATATTTTCCCACCCTTCTTTTTGTGCATAATTATTCCCACCCTTTGAGGTAAGTTATTAGATACACTAAGGTATCTTTTTCCACAAGACATACACACACCATATACCAAAGGTTTACACTCTAGTTTATGCCAGAAATTATCACGCCTTCACTAATAGTTTATATGAACTATGACGATTTGACATTCACCTTATGTGATTCCTAAACTGGGTTTCTCTGGTAAGAGAAGCTATACTCTCATGTAATTCTCTCTTTTTCCTTCTAGTGTGAAGAATCCGGCGGTTGATAGTTCTTGGTTTACACGGTTGACCAATGCACAGGACCTGCAGTTTCGTCCATCGTTCATATGGTTATGCTGTTTACATGGTTGATCTACACCACACTCGGCTACAGAAAGAAAGAGGAATTGGGAGGAGCTTGATAACACTATATTCTATGACTGTACACTCTGATTGGTTAATGTCTTACATCATTGTTAAAGGACCACTAAAGGCACCCAGACCACTTCAGCTCAATGAAGTGGTCTGGGTGCAGGTCCATCTAGGGTTAACCCTGCCTGCTGTAAGCATAGCAGTTTACATATGGGTTAATCCAGCCTCTAAAGCCTCTAGTGGCTGACTCATTGACAGCCGCTAGAGGCACTTCTCACAGTGATTTTCACAGTGAAAAGACACTTTCATCCATAGGAAAACATTGAAAATGCTTTCCTATGGACTGACTGAATGCGCGCGCAACTCTTGTCGCACATGCGCATTCGGCAGAAGAGGGAGGAGAGTCCACAGCGCTGGAGAAAGGTAAGCGTTTAACCCCTTCCTCCCCCTAGAGCCCGGTGGGAGGGAGGGCCATGAGGGTGGGGGGACCTATTAAAACTATAGTGCCAGGAAAAAGAGTTTGTGTTCCTGGCACTATAGTGGTCCTTTAAAGGAACACTATAGTCACCTAAATTACTTTAGCTAAATAAAGCCGTTTTAGTGTATAGATCATTCCCCTGCAATTTCACTGGTTAATTCACTGTCATTTAGGAGTTAACCCCATAAGGACCGGACTGTTTTTGCAATGTTGTTTGTGTTTAGCTGTAATTTTCCGCTCTCTCATTTACTGTTCCTATACAAATTATATATTGTTTTTTTCAGGACAAAAGGGGCTTTCTTTACATACCATTATTTATATAATCTCATGTAATTTAATTTTAAAAAAATGATGAAAAATAAATATTTTGACTTTTAATTAAAAAAATATTTTACTCATCTACAAAAGCGAGTGAAAAAAACTGCTAAATAGATTAAACATTTTGTCCTAAGTTTAAAAATACCCAGTGTTTACATGCTCTTTTGCATGTTATAGGGCTATAAGTACAAGTAGAATATTGCGGTTTCAAACCATACATTTTTAAAATGTATCAATAGTGACATTGTAACACTATTATCTGTCATAAATCTCTGAATAACACCCCACATGTACATATTTTTTTTAAAGTAGACAACCCAGGGTATTCAATATGGGGTATGTCCAGTCTTTTTTAGTAGCCACTTAGTCGAAAAAACTGGCCAAAGTAAGCATTCATATTTGTTTGTGTGTGAAAAAAGTTAAAAAACTAAATTGAACGCTAATTTTGGCCAGTGTTTGTGACTAAGTGGTTACTAAAAAAGAATGGACATACCCTATTTGCAATACCTTGGGTTGTCTTCTTTTGCAAATGGTATGCCATCATGGGGGTAATTCTCATTCCTGGGCTACCATACGCTCTCAAAGGCAACGTACTCAACCTGGCCATTTTCAATGTAAAAATATTTAACCCATAAACTTTCAAAACGCTATAAAACCTGTACATGGGGGGTACGGTTATACTCAGGAGACTTTGCTGAACACAAATATTAGTGTTTCAAAACAGGAAAACATATCTCAACAATTATATCATCAGTAAAAGTGCTGTTTGTGTGTAAAAAATGCAAAAAAAAGTAACTTTCACTGACAATATCATCGCTGTGATATGTTTTACTGTTTTGAATCACTAATATTTGTGTTCAGCGAAGTCTCCCGAGTAAAACAGTACCCCCCATGTACAGGTTTTAGGGTGTCGTAGAACATTACAGGGTAAAATACTGTGCTAGCAAATTAAATTCTCTAGATTTCGGCCTGGGTTGGCAGGCAGGTCCCTCAAATTGCAATCAATAAAATTACTTACTTATGTGAAAATATTACATAAATACGCACGTAGAATTTAAATATGTAAGCATATTTATATATTTGAAGTCTACGTGTATATTTATATAATTATTTATGCAATTTTGTATATGGACATATGTATATTTTGTATTATTTTTATTTATTTATACATACATACAATTTCATTCTAAGTGTATTTTGATATTAATATATATATATTAATATCAAAATACAGTTAGAATAAAATTTCATATAGATATATAATTTTTTTACATTTATTTAATTTAAATTACTTATTTGTATTTTATAATATATATATATATATATACACACAATATATAGTTATTATATATGTATATATATATATGTGTGTGTGTGTGTAATTTAATTATAAGTGTATTTTTAAATTAATATATGTACATATTAATCTAAAAATACACTTAGTATGACATTATATATATGATATATAGACATATAATTATAATATGTCTATATATATTTATATACACATATATAATTATTTTTTTATTAACATTAACAGTTATTTTATTTTTTTTTTTAATGATTTTACACTAGCAGGGAGACTGCTAGAGACTCCTCCTGCAGGCAGACACATGGACACCTATTGTGACCATGTGATCGCTCTGTTGAGCTTTCACATAGCCCCAGGGGTCCTAATCCGCCATTGGGGAGACTGCCTGGGAAGCAGGCAGTCGCCCCACACAGGGAGCAACGCCAATCGCCGTCGGGGGAACAACGGCGATCGGGTAAGTACATAAGACCGTTCAGGACCATCACCGGTCGGCAATGGAAAAATGAAGATGACGGTCCTGAACCGTCCTTGGTCCTTAAGGGGTTAAATCACTTTGTTTCTGTTTATGCAGTCCTAGCCACACCTCCCCTGGCTATGACTGACAGAGCCTGCATGAAAAAAAAAATTGTTTCACTTTCAAACAGATGTAATTTACCTTAAATAATTGTATCTCAATCTCTAAATTGAACTTTAATCACATACAGGAGGCTCTTGTAGGGTCTAGCAAGCTATTAACATAGCAGGGGATAAGAAAATCTTAATTAAACAGAACTTGCAATAAAGAAAGCCTAAATAGGGCTCTCTTTACAGGAAGTGTTTATGGAAGGCTGTGCAAGTCACATGCAGGGAGGTGTGACTAGGGTTCATAAACAAAGGGATTTAACTCCTAAATGGCAGAGGATTGAGCAGTGAGGCTGCAGGGGCATGTTCTATACACCAAAACTGCTTCATTAAGCTAAAGTTGTTCAGGTGACTATAGTGTCCCTTTAACTATTTCTTTGCTGGTGGGAAGTTCAGTAAAGAAAGATAAGCAAATATTTGTGTTCAGTCGTAATAAAATTTTGATTATTCGGTCACTAGAGCTAGATTAATCCCTAATTTTACACTGTGATTCATGGGAACTTATACAACACACCGGAGCCCAAACCCCAGAAGGTCCAGCCATGCCTGTGTGAAGCACCATGATGAGTATTCTCTAACTCACGCTGCTCTTCTCATTGTACATACTAGAAGCACTGGGCTCGTCATACACCCCTTCCCAGCCATCCCACAGCACAGGGTTCTACCATAGAATGTACAGCTACAGATCCGGCTGGCCAAGATTCTGAAGAACCCGCCCATCAGTCTTCACAGCATGTCAATTGGTAACCCCGCCCACCAATGGAATCTCGGACACTGATTGGCTCTCTAAGCTCGCTCACGTGACGCTTCCTGTTTGGGGAGGGGGGGCGTCGACTATAGTGACTGACAGGTTGCGTCATCTAACTGCGACGCTCAGTGCTCTGGAGATTGAGTGGCTGGAGCGAGGTGTCCGCTGCTTCATTCCTCAAGGGGTTTCGATGCGCGTGGTGAAATGTGACGCGTTCAAGTTGCGTCATTACTTCAGTTGACGTCACTGCCAACCAACGGGTCTCCGCCAATCACAGCGTTGCTGCCAGGATGAGCTCCAGACACAGCTCTGACCGGGAATGTAAGTCATGGCAGAGCCCTCATCACCGGCAACAGCCAATATATTGACATCATTCACCCTGTGTGGGCAGAGTGCTGGGGAAACTGGCTGACATGAGATGCTGCCCAGCCTTCTGATAGTGATAATGTGATCCGCTGACAGACAGGGCTGTGGGTGAAGTGAGAATGCATATAAGCAATACAGATACCTACATGTCTGATCATAAAGAGGAACAATATCCAAACATAATGTGAGAGATGTATCCCAGTGCTGTAATAATCTAGAAGGGGAGCAATCACCAATGGAAACCCCCTGGAATAAACAGGAACATTGCACCTTTTATAGCTTTGCAGGTTTCTCAGTCCATTACATTTTAAATGTCGATAGTATCACAGCCGTGATCTATCTACGGTCTCTGCGAACGCCGTGCAAAAACACACTATACAACTTACCCTTTGTGTTCCTTTACCCCACTCCCTCTAGCATGTAAGCTCATTGAACAGGGCCCTCAACCCCTCTGTTCCTGTGTGTCCAACTTGTCTGGTTACAATTACATGTCTGTTCGTCCACCCATTGTAAAGCGCTGCGGAATTTGATGGCGCTCTATAAATATCATAATAATAATCATAACTTATTTGCAATCTGCGTCATGAAGCCGATTGCCCATCGAACTCCAAACAGTACTATCTTGAAATACAAATGACACATTTTTAAACTAAAACAGTCAAAATTGAGTTGGAGGTTTTTTTTTTGTTTGTTTGTTTTTTTAAATCCGTTATTTTGGAGTTACGTTTGTTATCTGGGCCTAAATTGTGTAATTTAGGCCTGGACTGCAACTTTTAGCCAGTCACTGCAACTGTTGCTGATCACTGTAATACTTCCTCATTATCTCAAGCAACAACAAAAAAAAAGGATGGACTGCTGGAACTTTCATTCGGCATTAAAGCATTAAAACTAGTTTAATACTGAATGGAAAAACAGCACCAGGGAACTTTAGACACTAACCATGAGTTTAAACATTTACAGTTTCCCTTTAAACACCAGATTGTTACAATGTCTTAGGCTGAATTTTTAGTTCATTGTTTTGTTGTATATTAATACCTTTTTTATATGTTTTTGTTTTTCCTTTTACATATATTCTAGCTGGAGCCCATGTTCGTCACCAGGCTCTACAGAGGAGTAAAGCAGACATTCCTCCGATTGACCCTGAAGTTCTAAAGGATTTGGAAATCCTCACTCAAGATGTAGCCTTAAAAGTAGATCAAATGATGAAAAGCCTTAATGGAACTATCCAGAATGTAAGATCATATATTAACAACTCTTAACACATTGTACATGCTGGGCAATAACCGCATTATCAGTACACAAAGACAATGTGCCATTGTCTCTACTTACAGGGACACTATAATCACCTGAACTACTACAGTTTAATAGCAATAAACAGGACACAAGAGAATACTGAGAACGGGCAGCAGCTGAAATAGCCTGCCCTTCGGTGGGTCCCTGCTCAGATCTCAAGCTGGTTTTAGCTCATCTTGTGCCATTACAGAGAGAACATATCTGAAGCATATCAGACTGGCCCCACCCATATGGGCAGTCCAGATCCGAAATACCAGCAAGTTCCCTCTGCAAGAGAGACACAGCAACACCAGATTATCTTTTCAGCCTTGTTAGGTATCATCAGTGAGGCATAGCTGATATCTCTCTAGGCACCGTAAGCAAGGGGTCCACGTCTGGATTACCCTTTAAACTTGTGGAGAGCAAAAAACAGGGCGCAAGAGAGAATACTACAGTTTAATGGTTATGGTTTCTTAATGTAAACACTGTCTTTTCATAGGAAAAGCAGTGTTTAGATTGCTGGCTAGTTACACCTCTAGTGGCAGTCTAGATGGCCACTAGAGGTGCTTCCTAGTCCAGTGCTACACATGACCTTCATACAGGCACTGAACGTTCCCGATCGAAATGTATTGATTCTGTGCATCTTTATAAGGAGATGCTGATTGGTGCAGAATTTATTTGCGCATGCACAGTAGCCTCCCAATGCTTTCCTATGGGAAAGAATCGGATTGGCTGAGATCGTCAAGTTTGATGATCTCAGCCAGGGAGGCGAGACCAGGTGTAGCCAGTCAATGCGAAACCAGCAAGGCGTGGGGAAAAAGGTGAGTAAAATCACCTTTTCAATGAGCTCCAGGGGTAAGAAGGTGACCTAAATAGTTAAACACTATAGCGTCAGGAGTACATGTTTTGTGTTCCTTTAAGTCTGTGATATTTATATGGCTGTAGTGATATTATGTAACTTTTCACAAGTAAAATGTTGATCTTCCCAACCATTTGAAAGCAATATGAACATTAGAACAAGTTGGACAGACTTTAGCCGCAGAGAAGTAAAATTCCTCCCTTTGTCACTGGCCTAAGATGGGCAGCCTTAAAGGGACACTTCTTGCACCAAAACAACTTCATCAAAATGAACTTATCATGGTGCCAGGAGGCCTCCGGAAGCATTCTTACCTCAAATGGTTAAACGTCAAATGGTCAGATGGCACTCTCCACTCCCCTGAGACAGCATCCGGCTTCTGAAATTTCACTTTCAGGAAGCGCGGAGTGCCGTAGTTGCAGAGGTGCTGCTGGTTGGCTGAGCGGTCAGCTGATGCTCTCAGCCAATCAGTGACTCCCAGTGTAAAAACTGGCTTTTAAATAAGTGAAATTTCAGAAGCTGAGTGCCGTCTAGGGGGAATGGAGATCGCAACTGGAGGCAACTTTGGAGTTCAACCATTCGAGAATAGTTTAACCTCTTGAGGTAAGAGGGACGCTTGGCACCATAACAGTGTTTCATTTGGATGAGGTTGTTTTGGTGCCTGGAGTGTCCCGTTATTTATTTATTTACAAAGTACTGTTATATACACTCTAGGCAGAGGGTAAGGCACAATGCTACTTTATTGTCAGGCGGAAAAATGAAGATACCATGAACAAAACTACAGTATGTACCTCTGGCCTTGATGGAAAAACAAAGGTTTCTAGTGTTCGCATGTTAATGCTACATTGTGGGAAATTACTGAAAGTGTCTGTTCTAAAAAGCAGTGTAAAATGGAGAGGAGTCACCTCTCGGTTTCCATGGTGATTGCCCCACTTTTTTGGAACAGAACATCAAAATCCTTTTAATTTTGTAATGGTACTTAAAGTAACTGTTTAAAATAACTACTTATTAAAAGCACAGGCTCTTCATTGATTAATAAGTTTAATTATCCAAAATTGGAGATTAAATTCAAGCATTTGAATGCACATTCTTCGAAAATCTATTTAAATGTTTGGAATTTTTTTTTTTTATGCAAAATGTTTTATGTATTATATATGTATTGATTCTTAGATGACTGCACTTAGTGTTGGATATATTCAGACTTACAGAGACTCAGTGGACAGTCTTGGAGAATCTGTTGATATGAGTATCAAGGTAAGAAAGCAAAACACTATATTTTAATGTCAAGATCTTCTACTACCTTTTAAAAAAAAACAAAAAAAACATTTTTTTATAAAAATCTCACGCAAACTAAACAAAACACTCCACCAGAAGCCAGGCTAAGGTTGCAGCATGGGTTAAGGCTCATCTCTTATTATTAATATGTTATCACCGCTCTTCTGCATTGAGATTTTCCATTCTTGGCCCCACGGCTGTAAATTCATATACTGTTGGAAACTGAAAGTGCCAAACCAAATAGTCTGCTGAGGTCAGCCACCCCTGCTCTATATTATTGTTTGTAGTTTTTAATTGGTTATTGCACTGATGCACTGAGCCAATGCATCTCTATAAAGAGATGCTAATTGATGCAAGTTGGCAATTGCCGCACATGCCCACAAATCCCCCAGTGCTTCCCTGTGTCTTGGATAAAACCAGGCAGGGGTTGCGGCAAGTCCATGCACTTTGGAACTAAAGGTGAATACGATTTATTTTCCTATTTTGGAAAACACTAGAAAAACAATATAACATTAGGCTTACATGGTTTTTATTCCTAATGTTACTTACTGTTCCTTGAAAATTGAGCTGCCACTTCCATGGATTTTAAATACTATACTTGCTTAGTCTCATATTTAACAAATATTTTTTGTGAGGTTTTAAAAGTAGAAATCCATACCTCTACTGCATCTGGGCTCCTCTTATGTAATATGTACTATATCTCAGATTTGCTTTAAATAAAGAATTGGCAAAGTAAGGAAACCATTAATCCATGCAAAATATTTGTATTTATTTTTCCCTTTTATTCACTAGGGCATGTATACATTGATGGCTCGATGTGAAGAGTTGGATAGATCCATGCATCCCATTCATGCGCTTGCCAAACAGATTCGAGAAATTAAGCACACTCTGGAGATGTTTGAAACATTATGTAAATAACTTATCATTGTATTGCTAGGCGTATTTATATTTGTGTATATATTTCATTAAAAAAAAAAAAAAAAGGAAATTAAAAAACCAATAAAAAAAAATGAGACTTCCCGTTTAATTGAAAAATGCATACTTGTATGTTCATATATCTTCAGTCCTGTTTTTCTGTACTTTTCAAATCTTTTTCACATCTGGCCTAATTTAAAGGGGAAAGAAAAAGAGTACTTCTCGATTGTAAGTAGTTGAACGTAGATTGGTGGTTTCATTTACCGTATATACTCGTGTATATACTGTAATTCAGTTGATCTACCAAATTATATTTGCTTTATTTTAATTTGTTAGTTTTTTTATACGTTTTAAAACTTAGTGTTATTTGCTAAACTTAGAATTTTGGCAGGGTTAAACCTAGAGGGACCTGGCACCCAGACCACATCATTGAGCTGAAGTGGTCTGGATGCCTATAGTGGTCCTTTAAAGTTGTTTTGAAGCTTACAGTTTCCTTTAAATCACATGTTCACTTAGCCCTAGCTACAGCTCCAGTGGCTGAGACTCACACAGAGCCTCTCTACTTCCTGAAAAAAAGTCTTAATTTAAATAAATATATTTAAAAATTTATTTTTTATTTATTTTATTTTTTTCAGCAGCACAGTTTGCTAAGTTTACAAGTTATCTCCTGCTGTGTTAATCGACCTAATCACACAGTAGGCTACTGCAGACTCTAGCAGGCAATTAACAGAGCAGCAGATAAAAAAATAAATTTAAAAAAATCCTAACATTAACAGTGTGTAATAAGAGCAGCTAAAAAATGTAGGCTCATTTTCAGGAATGTGTAGGGTGGCAGCTGGTGAAGTGTTCTTTATTTTTGCATTGACAGACTGAGACAGTGCAGTATAGGGAGGCTTGCGCAGAAGCTTTATTGCTGTAAATGCGTCAGTTTTAAAATGATACAGAACTGAAAAGAGGTAAGTTGCATGCATGCAATGCTTCTACTATCTTAGCTTAGCTAGTTCAGTCAGTCAAGTTTTATTTTAACAGAAACATGAGAAAATATAAACAAACAAAATAATTGGCTCTGCAATACTGGAGGTCTCACACTTTTCCCGGTGCTATCAGGCATCTATGTGGGTGGGAGCGGGAGGCTTTTCGTATGGCCCTTATTTATCTATGAGGTTAGTCCTCATATTGTTCCCATAACTCCCATACCTTATTAAAGGTGGCGGTGGTGTTGCGGACCTGTGCTGTTTATTTGTCCATGAGGTAGTTGTCCTTGATTTTTGCTATAACCACGGATATATGTGGTAAGTTTGGGCTTGCCCATTTTTGTGTCCGTGCACGCCGTGCTGCTAGATATAGCATTTTTAATCATTTCTGTTGGTGTCTATTGAGACCCTCTCTATGTCTGGAAAGCAGACAACTCCAGGGCTCTAATTCTAATAGTCTTTAGAGAACTCTAGAGCTGAGGTCCATCCGCCCTACCCCAAAGGTCCCTGATCTTTGGGCACTGCCATCACATATGTATATAACTCCCATTGTCCCGCAAGGATGCTAGACGGTATCAGTGGGACTTAACCTCGTGAAATTGCTTAAACGGTGTTATGCACCACCTAAAGAGCATTTTATAGCATTGTTCCTAAAGTGTAACACACATAGATACTTTGGTGCACGCTTCCCATATCTCTTGCCACTCAGTCCCTTCGAGAACCTCCCCCAGGTCAGACATCTGGTAAAGTTTTAAGATGGTGTAGAGCCAAACTCCTCCCCTAGAATTTGACTCTGCCCGTTAACTCTGTAATCACCCTCTTATGATCTCTATACACTTAACTTCATACAATCAACCACTAACGGTAGTTCACATACAATGCACAAATGCATGCAATTCTTCAAATTAGGTATAATATAGAGATATATATTAGGCTCACGAGAGTTGGAGAGAGGAGCTACAGGAAATGGAAGATTGCGTGTGCTGGGTCTCAGCCGCCTCTTTTTCAGTATGCAACCAGATGAAAGGCAGGCAGTGGGGATTAACATTTTGATTATTTATTACTTATTATATATATATATAGAGAGAGAGAGAGAGAAGCTTTTAGCCACAGAATGGATTAGCCACAAAATCCTACCCCACATATTTACACACACAAACACTGCATCTACTGCACAAACACAGACTACATCCACTACATCAGGAGTGCCCAAAAGGTAGATCCCCAGAGAATTTAAAACTACAGTTTCCATCATGCTTTGCCATTCTGAAAAATCATGAAAAGCATCAAGGGAGTTGTAGTTCTACAACATCTGGGAATCTACCTTTTGTGTTTTATTATGTTAGCGCTCCACTATGTTCACATAAAGTGGTTTGGATCCACTTCGTTCACTCACTTTTCTTCTGAATGTTTACAATACTGCCTAGGAACCCCTCTAGTGGCAGTCAGTCATATGTTTTGCTGCGCATGTGCAACAGCCTCCACATTCTTTCCTATGGAAAACTATTAGATTGGCTGAGATTGTCATGGAAAAAAGTGCATAAACCACCTTTTTAAAGTAAGCAGAGAGGGTATTTTTAAAACTATAGTGTCCGGAATATATGTTTATATTCCTCGCACTATAGCAGTGATGGCAAACATTTTTAAGCCCGAGTGCCCAAACTGCAATACAAACCAACTTTTTTTCCTCAAAGTGCCAACACGGCAATTATACACACTGACACACCCATACTCTGTATACTGGGAGGAAGTAACAGTCACTTCCTCCCAGCACTCTATGCCACAGTAAAGGGGCCCAGTCTGCCAAACGGCTGCAGCACCCGACCAGGCCCCTGATGAGGTAGTTCTCCACTGGGATCTGCACTAATTTTCAGGAGGGGCAGTTGCCCTGTTTCTTGCCCCCCGCCTTCCGATTGGCCACTGCATCGGTGCAGCTCAAGCTCATTCTGGGACACCTACATTGTCCTGGAGAGAGGGTGCCCGGGACAGACTCTCAAAATGTGGGACTGTCCTAGGCGATCCGGGACACGTGGGCACCCTCAGTGGTGTATTTTGAATTTGTGCTGCCCTAGGCATGAACAAACTCGGGCACCAACCCCTCAATTTAAATTTTTCCCACCCCTTCCTGTCAAGGCCACACACTTTGACTGACAGACACTCCCTCACTGATGCATGCCCTGAAATACACACTGTTTAGCAAACACACACACTCACATATAATGACATACACACACACTCACTGATTTGACACACTCTGACAGTCACACACTATTACGCAGACACACAGATATGCATACTGACAGTCAAAACACTCATTGACAGACGCACATACTCACTTGCAGACATATCTCACTAACAGACACACACTGACTGACACACTCACAACACTGACAGAAACACACACACACATTTTTTTAATTTTTTTTTAACTCAACCCCGCCTTTGTGGGAGAACTGAAGTGGATTCAGTGGGGTCCAGTGGGGCTGCTGGACAGGCAGACAGGGGGCGAACTGGCAGAGTAGGCGGCGAGGGAGCTCTGATCCTCGCGCGCCACTTAGTGATGCCGGGAGCACAGACTACAACACTCTTTCGCCGCCTGAGCGCAAATCAAGCTGCCGCCTGCCTCGGGGTTGCCCAAAGGTGGCCAGCTCTTGGCCCCCCCCAGGACACGAGGCTAACAAGGCATCCATTGGGGCGTTTGGAGGCAGCTTTTTTGCCGCCCATAGGAAAGTGCCGCCAAAGGCAAATGCCTTGTTAGCCTCGCGTTGAATACACCGCTTTCGACATTGCTGCAGTATAGTGTTCCTTTACCTTATCTTTTCCACCTCTATAACTGCACAATATGCTAGTGCACCATAGTATAGGGCTGGTATCATTAGCACAAAGGAGGAAGCTGAAACACCCAGAAGAAAGAATTATTAATTAACCAAATTAGCAGCAACAGGATACTAGCAACATCGAGTAGATGATTTACAGAGACAGAGGATTATATTTACTACAAATAAAAATGTTAATCTGTGACTACTATTTGGAGGCTTTTTTTCTCAATATCTGTTTGGGGATACGGAACGGGGCCCTAGTCAGCGTTTAGGTGACTAGGGCTCTATAGTGTTAGGAATACATATTTGTATTCCTAACGCTATAGTGTTCCTTTAAACAGTAAAACATTCTAAGCATAACAACTAAAGGTCACCTGTATTTTGCCCTAATGCCATTTCTGAGAAAATGCTGAAGTTAAAGAACCACTATAGGCACCCAGACCACTTCAGCTCAATGAAGTGATCTGGATGCCAGGTCCATCTAGGGTTAACCCTGCAGCTGTAAATATAGCAGATTCAGAGAAACTGCTATGTTTATTATTATTATGTTATTTATATAGCGCCATCAAATTCCACAGCGCTTTACAATGGGTGGACGAACAGACATGTAGTTGTAACCAGACAAGTTGGACACACAGGAACGAAGGGGTTGAGGGCCCTGCTCAATGAGCTTATATGCTAGAGGGAGTGGGGTAAAATGACACAAAAAGGTAAGGATAGTATTAGACTAATGACAGTTGCAGAAGAGGAATCAGTCAGGAGCCATTAACAGTTTAATTGATGCGCTTTTATAAAGAAGTGGGTTTTTAACAATTTTTTGAAGGAGTGGAGACTGGGTGATCATCTAACGGAGGAGGGAAGCGAGTTCCACAGGAACGGTGCAGCCATCGAGAAATCTTGAAGGCGAGCATCAGAGGTGGGAGTACGGACAGAAGATAGACGTAAGTCTTCAGCAGATCGTAAGGGCCTAGCCGGGACATACGGACATACTTGTGTATAAGGGAGAAGGGTTAATCCAGCCTCTAGTGGCTGTCTCACTGACAGCCGCTAGAGGCGCTTCTCACTGTGATTTTCACAGTGAGAAGACGCCAGCGTCCATAGGAAAGCATTGAGGAATGCTTTCCTGTGGACTGACTGAATGCGTGCGCGGCTCTTGCCGCGTATGCGCATTCAGCCGATGACGACCGAAGGAGGAGGAGAGTCCCCAGCACCGAGGGAGCCCAGCGCTGGAAAAGGTGAGTGTTTAACCCCCTTCAGGAGGGGGGCATGAGGGTGGGGGCACCCTCAGGGCACTATAGTGGTCCTTTAAGATTGGATGTAATTCAAAGGTAATATCTACCTTTTGGAAAAATACACTTATACCAACTATGGTTCAATGGATAGATAGAGTTGAGAATACAAGAGCGATGGAAGAATTACATTGGCGAGCAAAAAAAAACCCCCAAAGATATCTAGAAATATGGGAACTCTGGATTACTTATTTGAACTCTGGGAAAGGGAAGTAGGTGGGATTATTTGCTATGATTTGGAGACCTTACGGTGGGATTACAATTACTACTAAATTGGAACAATGTTTGTATTAAAAGTTAGATATTATTAATGAAGTACTAGGAAGGAACTGAAGCACCACAGCTGAACTTGGTTTGAGCAGCGGATGACGTCGGAAGAGGGAGAAGAGGCCTGGCGCTGGAGAAAGGTAAGAATTTATCCCCTTCAGCCCGGCGGGAGGGGGCTAAGAGGGTGGGGGGGAACGAAAGACCCTATAGTGCCAGGAAAACGAGTTTGTTTTCCTGGCACTAGAGTGGTCCTTTAAGCACCTTAAAAGGACACTGTAGGCACTGTAACATCTCATTGAAGTGTTAATCTCTGAAGTGCCCCCTGGTGCTTTCTTTCCATTCAGTCAGTAATAAATACCTGTATTCTTAATGCTATATAGTGTTCTTGTCTCTATTTCGGTTCAGCAGACTCTGACTGATTGGCTGAGTGACACCTGACCACTTTCAGCTTATCCATTGCTGGTATGAATTGGTATAGCTAGTAAATAATCTCTGCATTAGCCATACTGCCGGGCTGTGGGTAACCAAGGACTCTTTTTTAACACTTAATGTGAAAGGGTTAATCGACTTCTATTTAACTCTCTCAGTTCTCGAATCTCCGATCACCACATCAATTGACGGGAGTTCTTGTATAGCAAATAACGACAGACATGAAAGAGTGCTCTAACAAGTTCTCAAATTAGTGTATTTTCAGGGCAAGCATTTATACACAGTTTGTCACGCAAGCAGCGAGATTTATCGCTTCCTTATAGTTAATAGTACATACTTCTGTGGCAGTAGAAGATAAGCATTTGAATAAAGACAGAACAGGAACATCCTGAGGTCGAGCAAGGTCGCACATCCTCTAGAAGGAAGACCTTGGTACAAAATACATCTGCCAAAGTCAGCATGATTAGTTCAAACATTATTTTAAAAGCATATAAAGCAAAAAGAGTTTAACTTTTTCATATCCTTACAGTCAGCACTAATGATTATAAACCTTATCTAAGCATAAAATACATATGAACAAGAAAAGTTAACTACTTCATATCCTTTCACTAATGGAATGAGGAGAGAGCACTAAAAGGCATAAGCAAATTTTTGAAACAAAATGGTTACAGTGACTATAGTATCCCTTTAAAGCCTATCACTGCTGTACAGATGTTGGACAATATTTGATGAATAACCTGGGCTTTGGGTGTAAAGAGAACACGGTTGTTTGTAAAACTGCTTGAAAACAAACATGAAATGAAGGGACAGCACCCATAGCTAACACAGCAATACATTGTAAACATTTTACCGAGCCACCTGTGCTAAAGCTGGAATATTATTAAATATTTTTGCACCCCTGGATTTAGGATAATCTTATTGGTGGAGATCAGTGATAGATACCCACTGTTAGTTTACGTAGAAATAGCAGAAAATTCTACAAAATTGAGAACAGCAGCCGTGCAGATCAAAATCTAGGCACAAGTCACTTACGTTTGTCAAAACGACCTATATTTGTTAAGCCGTGCTGTAGCTAAGCTTCTGTCTGTGTGATAAGGTCACATAAAATTAATTATGATGGTAAAGATACATTTTTTCTATTAGGTGATCATCTATAAATCATTATTCACCAAACCATGAATTTAAAACCCAACTGCAAAATATAGGTTAAAAAATATCATCTGTATTGCCTAGATGAAAACGTTTTCCAGATTAGCTCTTTTGGCCTAAATTTTAGAGAATAAACCCCATAGTGTTCGATTTGGATTTTATACAAGGAATTAACACTATAAATTTTGGAAGAGTTCCTCAACTTATAATTACAACTTGACTTTTTGAGCAACAATTCTGCAATTTGGTGTTTAGTGAACAAATTATTGTGATTAAAAGTGTGAGACTAGTCATCCTTTAGTCACCATTTCTATATTAAAATTCTGTAAAATTATGGGTTCATTAAGTGTAAGTGATGTAAAAATAAACACTACAAATGCAAAAGTTCTCACTTTTGCGGATACTAGCTCTTAATTACAACTGGGTAATTCATTAAAGGACCACTATAGTGCCAGGAAAACATACTCGTTTTCCTGGCACTATAGTGCCCTGAGGGTGCCCCCACCCTCAGGGTCCCCCTCCCGCCCGATTCTAGGGAGAGGAAAGGGGTAAAAACTTACATTTTTCCAGCGCTGGGCGGGGAGCTCTCCTCCTCCAATCCTCCTTCTCTCCGCCCATTCGGCTGAATGCGCACGCGCGGCAAGAGCTGCGTGCGCATTCAGCCGGTCGCATAGGAAAGCATTGGACGCTTGCGTGTTCTTACTGTGATTTTCACAGTGAGAATCTCGCAAGCGCCTCTAGCGGCTGTCAATGAGACAGCCGCTAGAGGCTTTGGAGGAAGGATTAACCCATTTATAAACATAGCAGTTTCTCTGAAACTGCTATGTTTATAAAAAAATGGGTTAACCCTAGCTGAACCTGGCACCCAGACCACTTCATTAAGCTGAAGTGTTCTGGGTGCCTAGAGTGGTCCTTTAAATACCACATTAGACAATGAAAATAACCTGATTGGCATTTAATAGAAATTCAGTTGTTCTGAACTAGGTGCCAGGGTGCTGCGCAAACTGGCAGGGAATACACACTTCACTACATCTCCTGGCTTGCTATTGCTCCATGAACACAGCCAACTGACCTTTTGTGGGTCATACAGGTAATGAAGCATTAGTAAACATTCTAGAACCCTATAAAAACCATAAACTATAAATCCAAGAAATGAGCATATAATAAATAAAAAAGTCAGAGCAATGTTCACGCACTTAAATTGTACATGGTTTTGGCAGGTACATGGTGCTTCCAAAAAGTTCTTTAAAATGGTTACTCTCACTGAGTAAGTGTTAGCCTGTAGATGTATTGAAAGGAGATATTTACTTTTGCATTACAATAATATACAGAGAGGCTATATTACATTTAATTTTTTATAATTGTACATCGCTGCAGAATATGTTGGTGCTGTAGTATACATACTAAATAATAATGACAGTCATTTTCCATTTAACAGTGAGGAATAGAACATGCAGGTCTGATGTTTAAAATATTTTCAATATTTTCTATGATTTGAGACTTTTTTTGTAAAATACAGCCACCTTCTTCCACAGTATTATGCACTGAAGCAAAAAGGGTTTTGCAAAGAATTAAAGAAAATGCTGTAGTTGTATGGACCACAAGTATTATCGTATATACTCGAGTATAAGCCGACCCGAATATAAGCCGAGGCACCTAATTTTACCACACAAAAATGGGAAAACTGATTGACTCGAGTATAAGCGTAGGGTGGGAAATGCAGCAACTACTGGTAAATTTCAAAAATAAAAATAGATCCCAATAAAATTAAGTTTAAGGTTTTTGAATGTTTAATTCAAAGAAAACCAGTAAACTAGCTCTGTAAGTGGAAAAGAGCGTCAACAAAAACAATATGGTATCAACAATAACTTTAAAAGTACAAAAACCTTAGCTCAATCAGCAACCAAGCTAAAACACAAGAGTTAAAATCCTTCAAAACGGGATTCCTCCTCATCATCTGTATGTCCAAACAGAGCTTCAGCTTTAGCTGGTGTGAGGTTGTCAGCATAGACATTGTCATCATCACTGAGTTCGCAGTCAACACCATCACTGCTGTCGTTCTCATAAAAAGAGCTGTCTTCACTGCCATCCATAGCATTACTAATGCCACATTTCTTGAAGGCGCGTTGCACCATGTTCTCTGGAATCTCTTCCCATGCAACACAAACCCACTTTGCTATCAATGTCGGGCTTCATCAGATTTCTAACTTTTGTCAGTCGGGCTTGACCAGATGGCATCCATTCATGCCACATCTTTCGCACATGGTCTTTGAAAAGTTTATTTAGACACACATCTAGGGGCTGCAATACAGATGTAAGCCCACCTGGAATAAAGGCCAAAGTAACTTGAGAAGACTTTGACAATTTTTTTATGTCATCAGATGTGTGGGCTCTGAACATATTCCAAACTAGCAATGATGTTTTTTTCTTTAAGGCTGCTCCTGCTGGTCATCCGTTCCAAATTTCTTCCAGCCACTTTTTTGTTCTGTCTTCATCCATCCGGCCTTTAACACGTGCGCGCACTGTGATTCGTGGTGGGAATTTTACCTTTTTAGGCAAGGCGCTGTGTTAAGGCAGGCGTGCAGGAGAAAAGAAGAGCAGTGATATTAACAGTCATTGGACCACCCACAGATGCCGCAGATGAGCAGGAGAGACCAGAGAACACCCGCACTGCACCGGAGAACAGGTAAGTGGGACCTGGCGTACACATAACCCATGGGGCCCCGGTGCGAAACTGATTCACGGGCCCTCCCTCCTCCCCCCCGACAGACAGACACACATACAGATACATATATACAGACAGGCACACAAGACATACATACAAAGACACAATATTAAATATATTTAATATTAAAGTCATCCTCCTGTTGCCTACTTTGATGGGAGTCTGAAACCCTGTTCTTCCTCCCATGCGGGCTCAGTGATAGCTGGGAGGAGTGACGTGCAGTCACTTCCTCCCAGCAGTTATGATCTCATCACAGGGGGCCCGGTCACGCAGTTAAAGCATCCAGCGCTAACCGGGCCCACAGACAATCCGTATCTATCTGGTGGCCTTGCCAGCATCGGCCACCCGATGGACCCCTTGGACGGCAGCCCCGGCGGTTTGATGATGATGACGGCGGGTACCTGCCGTATGGACCCTCACTCGAGTATATGCCGAGGGGGACTTTTTCAGCATAAAAAATATGTGTTGAAAAAGTCGGCTTATACTCGAGTATATACGGTAATCCAAATGGATGCATAGTAAAAATGTATAACAAGCGCTTTACGTGAATTTAGAAAAGTACAGAAAAAAGAAGCCAAAGATCAGAAAGTATTTTTATTTTCAACACAATTGAGAGATTGAAAAAACGTACACAAAGAAAAAGTACTAAGAAACAATATTAATTGGCACATTTACTAGTCCATTATCTCACTTGAATTAACTCAACAGCCGCACAATATATTGCACAACAGAACAAGATGTACTTCGATCCATGTATTTATACAATAAATTTCAATTCAAACATGAAAAAAAAAAAAAAACACCTCCCATAAAACATACAGAATTTAGAAATGAAAAAAACTAAATTGTAAAACATAATAATATGCCATCGTAAATACAGCAAGTCAAAAATGTGTGATTGTAATGGTTCTTTTTTTTAGGCTTTAGTAGGGACAAATCAAGGGGAAAAAAAAGTCTGTAACTTATTGTTTTTATATATTTATACAGTATATATATATAGAAAATATTTCAAAGTAAGGTTGTGATTGTTGCAGAATCGTGGATTGTGTTATGTCAGGGTTTCACCTTTGGTGACCTGCAATCAAACAAACAAAAATTATAGGAGTTATATTTTGAAACATAAAAGCGCACAAAGAACACCACCACCAAGATGATTTTGCAGTACAACGTAATGTTTATCAGACAAATTTATACATTACAGTACATTTAAACAAAACAAAATACTTGGTCCCCATGGTAATGTAACAAATGTAAACATAGGGAAAAACTGTTACGGTGGCTACATTTTCTAGGACAAACATTAGGAGTTGTTTTAGGCCAGGCTCCTGGCTTTATCAAGCAAATCAGGAACAGGACGAACAGTTTTGTTATTAAAAAGAAGCATGATGCATGCACATGCACTGACTATGATTAACAAGGGTGTTCCTACATTTCATATGCTCCGTGACCAAAGGAAATCTGAGAAGTAAGGATTTAGCCTTTTTTTTTTTTTTAAACTTACTGTACTAAACAGAAGAGGAAATCAAGGTTATAGATAAAATATATCATCCATTTGTATTTCAAAGATGTGTGCAATGCACTGCACGCCAATTTGGGGCTTTAAAAGGGAGACAGACAGAAATCATATAAGCTTTTACCTTTATAAGCATGCCGACTTCATGGTTGTTTATGAATGTATTTTTATTATTATAGGCAAATATATTTGTAAGCTCTGGATATAAAATCTAGCACAGGAATCACTAGAACACAAGATGAGTGCGCTCTACTTACATGAATCAGACAGCAATGAATGCAATATTTTCTCCATTTACAATAATTTGTAAAGTTTAAGAGCTGTATGCTAGATGTGTACAGTACACTGATTCTCAAACCACTGCGCTAGTCTAGATCAAGGGACCAGCATTAAAAATATAGATCTCTAGTTCTGTTCCAGCCTACTTATCGATAAAACATGGATCACTGGGGGCTTTTCAAAAAGATATAATGAAAATAACTTTTTTAAAAATGTATATAATAATAATTGTAAAATAATCTATGCTAAGCCTCATTGTTACTGATTTGTGATTTCCTTGAAAAGACACTATAGGCACCATTAATGAAGTGGTTTAGGTGCCATGTTTCTGTCATTTTAACCCTAGAACTGAAAACCTAGCCATTCTACCTGAATGGCATTGTTTACATTGCAGGGTTAAAGTCCCACTAGTGGCAGTCACTCTGCAGCGAACTAGAGTAAAACTCAGCTATTTCAATTAGACAGTCTCATAGAGACCATCTGTTTAGCAGAGCACAGCGTTGGGCCACCCATGCACACTAGTCTCGCAATGTTTTCCTATGAGAAAACATTGATTGCCTGAGATCACCATGTTTGTATTCCTAACACTATATTGTTCCTTTAAATGTGGCCTTACATTAATGTGGTGTCCTCAGTAATTCATTCTAATAAGCAAAGTGACCATATGTAAATCGGCTAAGTTTTAAACAATTCTAATCTAGTAAATACTTCAAATTGAAGTTATTGGTGCCGAACCATATAAGCCATATTAGGTTCATGATTAAAATCCTTCTAACAGATGAATCACATACATACCAGTACCAATGTACAGCAAGCACCTAAAGCCTGTCCCCATAAATGTGAAACTCTATTTACAATACCATTTATAAAGACTTGTGGTTTTGACTTTATTTGGAATTGTACATGAGGGCAATAAGCAGTGTTACGTATACAGCTGTAGTAATCAGAATGGTTCACTGCAAATTCTCTATGTATTTAAAGATATAGAGCTGGTATGACGCACAAGCTAAATAAACAGAAATTTAAATTGTACAATCATGTAAAGTAGTCCTCAAGACTGTAACTTCTCAGAATGCTTATTACTGCATACACATATTCCCATAATGTATGTGTGATGTTTGAAAAGTTAAAAAGGAATATAATGTACAAGTCTACACCTCTTCACTTTGCAACTGAATGCCTCAGTCTTAGCTTACCATAAGTCATTGGTATAAGCTCTGTCCTTAGCATGTGGAATTTAGCATATAGAAAGCAAACAAAAGAAAATTAAAAATTGTTTTGAAAAATGTTTAAAAGGGACACTATAGTCACCTGAACAACTTTAGCTTAATGAAGCAGTTTTGGTGTATAGAACATGCCCCTGCAGCTTCACTGCTCAATCCTCTGCCATTTAGGAGTTAAATCCCTTTGTTTATGAACCCTAGTCACACCTCCCTGCATGTGACTTGCACAGCCTTCCATAAACACTTCCTGTAAAGAGAGCCCTATTTAGGCTTTCTTTATTGCAAGTTCTGTTTAATTAAGATTTTCTTATCCCCTGCTATGTTAATAGCTTGCTAGACCCTGCAAGAGCCTCCTGTATGTGATTAAAGTTCAATTTAGAGATTGAGATACAATTATTTAAGGTAAATTACATCTGTTTAAAAGTGAAACCAGTTTTTTTTTTTCATGCAGGCTCTGTCAATCATAGCCAGGGGAGGTGTGGCTAGGGCTGCACAAACATAAACAAAGTGATTTAACTTCTAAATGACAGTGAATTGAGCAGTGAAATTGCAGGGGAATTATCTATACACTAAAACTGCTTTATTTAGCTAAAGTAATTTAGGTGACTATAGTGTTCCTTTAATAAAAATAATTTGAAAAGAAGAAATTGTTTCGGTTCTCCTCTTAAAGTGGCTCTGTCACCTCAAACGTTCCTTTCTCCTATTTTTTCTTCTTCCTCTTTCAGAATTTGTTCTTCTTTCCTAGTTTCTGATCTTTTTCTCTTTAAAACACAAGACAAAGTAGGGACTACTTTGTCTTATGTATTTTTCCTACACTTGGCTATCTAGACAAAATGGTGGAACTTAACGGGTCACTATGCTGACTGAAGAAGCCATCGTAGCAAAACGCATTTTGGCAAGATTACAGACTGAACCTTTGTTAGTGCAATACTACTCTAGATCAGTTTATTGTTTTACTTAATGTTTAATGAATAAACATTTGTTTAGTACTCCTGTAGTCCATAATTGATTGCAGGCAGCTATTTGGGAAAGTGTCACCCCAAAAATTGACACTATATATTTTAACATCAGAGTATATATGGGGCTCTGAATCAGGTGAGCTTAACAATATACATGCACTGTTATTTCTACATATTGCACTATTTTGTTCTCCCTTCTATTTCATTTCATATTGCACACTATTACCAATGTGTGGTTCTTCCAAAAGAGCACGACTGCGTAATATATTGAGCCATATATTTAGGCTCTAACAAATGTGAGTGTTTAATAATGATTTACACTTACCATAAAAAAAAAAAAAAAAACAACAATCTATATTTTTTTTGTTTATTTTTTACATGGTATCTTGGTGAAATATCCACCAAGATAATTGATACGGTTTTAAACACTCTGCTGTTGTTATAAGTCTTAAATTATAATATATTTTTTCTTGTGTGGTAAAGAGGGTATTCCTACACAAGTGTTTTTAGAGCTGCTGTTTATATATTTTAGATTTGTATTTAAGCACATCTGTATCACAATTGTTTTGAAGATAACTTTCTTTAATAGGTATTGTGATTACCTCTATTCAAAACCAATTTTCTTGCGTTCTGTTTTATTTCATTAAATAAAGTGTATTGATCTTTTATATAGTATGCTCCTATGTTGTAGCACTTCCAATTTTGCAACACACTAGGAAAAAAATAAAGGCAAGCGTCCATAGGAAAGCATTGTAAATGCTTTCCTATGCGACCAGCTGAATGCGCGCGCGGCTCCTGCCGCGCATGCGCATTCAGCCGATGACGTCGCGAGCAAGGAGGAGAGGAGGAGTACAGCTCCCTGCCTGGCGCTGGAGAAAGGTAAGTGTTTAACCCCTTCCTCTCCCCAGAGCCCAGCGGGAGGGGGTCCCTGAGGGTGGGGGCACCCTCAGGGCACTATAGTGCCAGGAATACGAGTATGTTTTCCTGGCACTATAGTGGTCCTTTAATCCTTGGATCAAGAAGCTATTACCCTACATTGAAAAATTATATCCTTGAATATTCTGCTTTTGCAAATATGCATCTAGTTGCTGTTTGAATATCTGTATGGACTCTGATTAAACCACTTCTTCAGTCGATTAATTCCACATCCTTATTGTTCTTACAGTTAAAAAAAAAAATAAAAATAAAAAAACACCTTTTTTTTTTGCCTTAGACGAAATCTTCTTTATTCCATTCTAAACGCATGACTTCTTGTCCTATGTAAAGTCCGGTTTGTGAATAGATTTCCATACAATGGTTTGTATTGGCCTCATATATATATGTATAATGTTATCATATCCCCTCTGAGACGACGTTTTTCTAAACTAAAGAGGTTTAAATTTGTTAAGTTTTCTTCCTAGCTGATATGTTCCATTTCTTTTATTAATTTTGTAGGCTGCCTCTGCACTTTTTCAAGTGCCATAATATCCTTCTTTAGAACAGGTGCCCAAAATGACACAGCATATTCAAGATGTGGTCTAACTAGTGATTTATAAAGAGGAAATGATATTCTCATCCCGAGAATGAATACAAGCCCCCAAAACAGTTTAATAAATAAAAAAGTAAGACCGGATAACCGAGTTACCGTCCAACAAACTTTAATGGATAAAACCTATGGTCACAATAATTGTAAATGACAAAGTATTTAAAGTATATTTTTTTCTGGGGGGAGAACAAAGTAGCATGCAGATTTGTATTCATGCAGCACAGCAATTATTCTGCAAGTCACCATTCCAGAGGGGAAGCATAAAAACAAAACAAAAACAAAAAGGAAAGAATGTGAGATTTGCAGGGCAGCTCTATGAAACACCAACAATTCCTTTAACATGCACAGGTAGAGAACATGATTGTGTTAAGGAAAATAAAAAATAAATAAACTTTTGGTCTTATTATATGGCACACTTTTAGAACCTAAGCTTATAGGCATAGTCAATTTAACCCTTAAATACTTCAGCATGCAGCTTGGAGTGTTCCTTTAGAAGCAAAATTATGATGCACAAAAATGATAGGTTTCTAAAAAGCCCTACTGAAATAACTTTACAATTGGAACAATAAAAATAAAGCTTGCAAACTGCTAAAACATTTTGAAAATAAAGAAATGCTATCATAACACTTTTATTTTTAGAGAACAGATCCACTGTACAATTCTTTGTGCCAGCTACAGAGAGCAAATAAAAACAATTTTCCCAAATAACAGAAGCAGCCTTCTTTATACAAAAAGCAAACTATATTCAACATTAAAAGACCTTGGCCCTGTGGGTCACAGAGTGGAAAGCACAAACACGAACATATTTTGTGAGAGCATTTGTAGTAATAATAGATGCATATTTAGAAGCACCAATGCAGCTCAGCTCTTTATGTGAGTGGATGGATCATGAGTAGACAGAATAGGAGTATCAGCCCCAACCCACAAATGACTGTGAACTCTCTAAGATATATTCAAAGTTATTAAACCTGCTTGTCTAACAAAGCATTCTCAGGTAATCCCTAAACCCTGGACTGGTAGGGGGTCCTGAGGACTAACGTTGAGAACCCCTGCTCTAGTCTGTTCTGTAAATTAACTAGCATCTTTCAGGTGTATTAATGGAAAGCTACCTAGGAGGCTTGAACGCCCATTAGTTACAGATGACCTGGTCATTAAAGCGACACTGTCACAGTCTGAGGACTTTGCAGAATTTGCAAAGATCCCCGATAGGGGATGAGTTGGAAGATGTCACTGATGGAATGACACCTCAGTGCATGTGACTTACACAGCCTTCCTAAACACCTCCTATAAAGTCATCTAATGTTTACAGTTCCTTTATTGCAAGATATATGTTTTGTTTCTCATTTTCTGCTCTGTTAATAGCCTGCTAGATCCTTCAGGAGCCTCCTGTATGTAATTACAGTTCAAAAAACAAATCCATTTTGTTTTCATGCAGTCTGTGTCAGTCACAGCCAGGGGAGGTTTGGCTAGAGCTGCATAAACAAAAACATAAGTGGTTTAACTCCTAAATGGCAGTAAAACTTCAGAGGCCGGATCTGAAACTGCTTCATTAAGCTGCAGTTGGTTAGTGACTATAGAGTTCCTTTAAAGCTTTGCATTTGCTACAAATTGGACTACTCAGGTGTAGAAAAAACCCAGAAAAATATGGTTCTGTTAACCATAGAAGTATTGAGAAACACAAATGTAATTTTCTTAAAGTCGAAATTGCAACGTGTGTGGTAAAACACAGAACAGTAGCAAGTAAAAAAAAAAAAAAAAAGGAAAAAGCCAACAATGATGAAAACATGCAACTATTACTTGATGACTGTGTAGCAAAGACAAGACAGTGACATGCAAATATATTAACACATATTTTTAAAAGGAAACTGTGCTGTGTAAGCCCTTCTTTGCCTGTGTAGTACAGTGGTCCCTAAACACTTCAGCTTAACGTAATATATTTGATGCAATTATTGCTCTCGCTGCAGTCTTTCATTTGTAAACACTGCATTCTCTTTCTGATAAAAGGTTGTTTACATTTGTTCCTAAAGACACCTCTAATGGCATGGTGGCACTTAGACACCCACTAGGGGTGCTTCCGATTATGGTCCAGCGAATTGGATAATGCAGCAGATGGTGAGTACATGGTGACTGTTGCAATGTGGCAATAGTTACATATACAGTTCGCCCCAAATGCTTCTCTATGGGGAAGCTTTGGATTGGCTTAGATCATCAATAATGGAGACCAGTGAGATATGGGGCTGAAGGTAAGGAACGTTTTTTGTTGTTGAAATGTTATGGTTACCAGGGAACCCTACTTTGAAACATGCAAGAGAAAACTCTTAACATTAAATATACATGTTTGCACTTCTAACTTTACAGTCTCCTTTAAGCTCTTTTGTCAGGGAACCAAACTGCTACATTAGCTTGGTTTACTTGTAGAATTAGCTAAGTGACACTTTGGTAAAATACGTTTTGTATTAGTCTTTTCCCCAATATCAAATGGGTACTGCACAGGGGCAAGGAAAGTCGCATAACGGTAGACTTACTATGGTCCTTAGGGTAAATATATTATAGGAATACAATGTGTCTTTACCTACCAATGGGGACTCATTTTTGGGGCCCAATCCATGGATCAAGAAGATGTTCAAAAGGTCCTCTAAGCACAATAACCACTGTTATGATACTTAATCATAGCACTGTTAATGCCATTCCTAACATATACTAATCTAGTGTAAAGGTGGACATTTCTTACAAATGCGTTGATGCAACTGCTTATGCAGTTGTTATGTGTGTTTAGTGTATAATGTGTGTATGAAGATAAATTTGTTTGTGAGCTTGCAGAGGGGTTGGTGAATTTGATAGTGCTGGTAGACATTTATAAGCTGTTGGGTGCAGGAAGCTATTTGACTGAGTGGAGAAATTGTGGCAGGGAATTGCTCCTTGCTTAATCGGTTTGCCTTGGGCAACACATTTTTACAAATCCTAAAGATGTTATTTGTGCTCAGGACAGCACGTCTGATCTGACAATCCTATGCCACACCAAATGAAATGATAGTAACAGAACACAAGTATGGCGGACTGTCTTAACACACAAAGGGAAGCAAACATTAAAAGGTACAGGCAGGTTTTGTTAAAAGTGCTAAAAAAGGATTATCAAGGTCTGTTCCACTCAACCATGATTTGTCGTTTACCCAAATCAGCAATAGTTTAGGACACAAAAGGGAAAATAAAAACAACACAAAAGAAAAATGTAAAGATCTGTTTTGTTCTTGTGATACCATGCCACTAAATAACTGCTCAGTTGTGTTAATATGTAATATGAAGTAACTACCACTTGAAAAGGGACAATATTCATTAAGAATGATTGTATTGTTTGGCAAAGTAATAATGAATACATATATAACATACCCTTGCTTCTATGTACTCAATTCGTCTTTCCAACGCTGTCAGCTTTTCATTTAAGGTTGCCAAGCGTGAACGACAGGACATATCTTAAAAGAAGTGTAGTATAGGTTTAACGTTTTAGTTTTGCTGAGCCATTTTTTTAAACAAGTTTTTAAAAAAATTCTAGAAGCAGAAAAATACATAACCCTTAAAAACAACAGAAAAACAGTGGCTTAAAATAAAACAGTACAAAACTGAACATATAAAACATATCCATAAACGGACAACATTTAATAATACACTTCATACACTTAAATTACTCATCCATGTTTAAAGGACCACTATAGTGCCAGGTAAACATACTCGTTTTCCTGGCACTATAGTGCCCTGAGGGTGCCCCCACCCTCAGGGTCCCACTCCCACCGGGCTGGATGGCGAGGAAAGGGTTAAATCTTACCTTTTTTTCCAGCGCCGGGCGGGGAGCTCTCCTCCTCCTCTCCGCCTCTTCGGCTGAATGCGCATGCGCGGCAGGAGCTGCGCGCGCATTCAGCCTCTCTCATAGGAAAGCATTCATAATGCTTTCCTATGGACGCTGGCGTCTTCTCACTGTGATTTTCACAGTGAGAAGCACGCAAGCGCCTCTAGCGGCTGTCAATGAGACAGCCACTAGAGGCTTTAGAGGCTGGATTAACCCTATTATAAACATAGCAGTTTATCTGAAACTGCTGTTTATAAAAAAATTAAAAAAATAAAATAAAAAGGGTTAATCCTAGAGGGACCTGGCACCCAGACCACTTCATTAAGCTGAAGTGGTCTGGGTGCCTAGAGTGGTCCTTTAACTTATAAAAATAAGCTTAAAATACAAATAACATTTTTAAAAAAAGATACTCCTCTTTGTCCTTTGCAAAAAAAAAAAAAATTCCTGATCCTTTTAAAAGGATCACTCCAAGCACCTTAACCACTACAGAGCTTTGTAGTGGACCTTTTTTTCCCCGCGCCGAGATCCAATCCCTGCGGCCATTCGGTCCTCCTTCAGCGACTCTTCTCTTTTGTCCAATCCAATCTCTGCTTTTTTCTCCAATCCAATGCTCTTGCAATGTAAACATTGCCGTATCTACTAAACGGCACTGGTTTACATTGCAGCGTTTAAACTAAAGGACCACTGCATTGAGATTAATTGGTCTGGGTGACTTTAGTGGTCCTTTATAGCACTATTTGAAATTTTCTAGAATTTTACTATAATCTTTCAATTTTTATTTACATTTGAAGCCGCTTTTCTCTGGAGTAGACTAATAATGCTGATATTTTGCAAAAAGTTTGGTTTTCCTTCAACTCAGAGAATTGAATGTCACTGATAATAATGGCACTCTGTTGTTACCATAGCTACCAATTCAGACATGTAAGATACAATAAATATAAAAATATCTTTTCTATTTTTATTTTTTTAAACCAAGTTGCATGCACGTAAGGAAAAAAAAATTGTTGGAAAAATGTGCAAATGTATTAGATTTGCCAACTTGCTAGCAGCTCTAAAGATATGGTAACAATGGATAGATAAACCACCCTTTCTCATAATCTACAATATAATAGGTCTCAAACCTTGCTCCTCGAGCAGTCATTTGACTACATTACCCATAATTCTATGACAATCACATGCTGTGAAGTATGTTAAATGTAATCCAAAAGCAGTTTATTGCCCATACTGTCACAAAGACATGCATACTTGTTTTGGATCCCTTGGGTAACGTGCTGTATTTGAGGGTCCTGTGCAGGAAGAGCACAGTGATCACATCACAGCAGCCACTGGCCACTAGGAAAATGATCCACTCCAGCCATCTCAAAGCAAGATAGGGATGCTGGGTGGACCTCTTAATTACTAAATGTGTGTGTATAAATGTGATTTTTTGTGTGTATGCGATTGTGTGAGTATATATATATATATATATATATATATATAAATAAATAAAATTGCGTGTATAGGTCTCTGATTTAATGTGTGTGTGTGGGTCTGCGATTATGTGTATAGATCTGTGACTGTAATTTGCACATGCGCACTACCTTTCACATGCACGGGTCTGTAATTGTGTTTGTCTGTGATTATGTGTCTGTATGTGCAAAGGTCTGTGATTATATGTGCATTTATATCTGTGGTTATGTGTATATGTGTTTAGTAGGTGGTTCCCTAATTTGATATCCTTAAAATATGGCAATACCACATAAGGATAACAAATAATGGAGTTATCTACTAAACAAATGAAATATCAAAATTTAAGAAAAGGACCTTTAAAGTTTTATTATATTTTTTTTTTATGTGAGGCCCAAGACAATTTATCTTCGCTCAATGTGGCCCAGGCAAGTAAAAAGGTTGGGCACCCACTCTGTAGATGCTGCCCATGCATTCAGTGTTTATATTTTGCAGTTTCCACGCCCTTTTGTGACTGACAGACAGTTGCAAGGGGCTTTAAACGAACCTAGATTTGATTACTGAATCTATTTTATGTCTGTTGCAGATATACTGACGCCAGATGTTATCAGTGTATCTATATGAGAAGCATTGGATTCAGATCCTCTCATAGAAACGCATCAGACTGGCAGATGGTGACAATTGCTTAGCATGCGCCGTGTGTCGTCAATGACAATCACCTATTGCTTCCTCATTAGCTTAAAGGACCACTATAGGCACCCAGACCACTTCAGCTCAATGAAGTGGTCTGGATGCCAGGTCCATCCAGGGTTAACCCTGCAGCTGCTATGTTTACATTAGGGTTAATACAGCCTGTAGTGGCTGTCTCACTGACAGCCGCTAGAGGCGCTTCCCACTGATTTTTCACAGTGAGAAGACGTTGACGTCCATGGGAAAGCATTGAGAAATACTTTCCTATGGACTGATTGAATGCAAGGGCGGCTCTTGCCGCACATGCGCTTTCAGTGGATGATGTCGGAAGAGGGAGGAGAGTCCACAGCGTCGAGGGAGCCCGGCGCTGGAGAAAGGCAAGTGATTAACCTCTTAACCCCTCTTAAGCCCGGTGGGAGGGGTGCCATGAGTGTGGGGGGACCTATTAACACTATAGTGCCAGGAAAACGAGTTGTGTTCCTGGCACTACAGTGGTCCTTTAAGCAGCATAGATGGAATGGGCAGTAAGTACTCCAGTTTAGCACTAAAACATAAAAAAAAGTTTAATGCGGAATTCAAGAAAAATACCAGAGGGGCGTCTAACTCCAGGCTTGCTTCACTATTGTTGTAATCAATATGACTCTCTAAATAGGATTTAATATTGAATAATTTTTTTTATAAAGATCTAATAGTGGACTAATTTATCAAGACATCTCATCATGTTTCATGGCGCTTGCTACACTTTTAAATAGACACTGGTCACCCAGACCACTTCAGATCAATGAAGTGGTCTGGGTGCCAGGTCCCTCTAGGGTTAACCCTGCCTGATGTAAACATAGCAGTTTCAAAGAAACTGCTATGTTTACATTTGGGATTAAGCTAGCCTCTAGTGGCTGCGCATCTACGACGCTGGAGGCATTTAATGCTCATCACGCAGAACGTCCATAGAAAGCATTGAAAAATGCTTTCCTATGGACACTTTGAATGCGCGCGCGGCACTGGCGGGGGACGGGGGAGCTGAATCAGCGGGGGAGGAATGGTAAGGGAGCCCCGCGGTGGAAGAAGGTTTTAACCCCTTCAGCACCACGGGAGGGGGACTCTGAGGGTGGGAGCACCCTCAGGGTACTATACTATAGTGATCCTTTAACACTTTGGTGTTTATTTACTAAACACCGAATTGTAGCAATTCAACTACAGTCCTGCTGTGGCAATTTATCCTGAATTTAACCATTTATCCCTAAATTGGCAGACACGTAATTTTCAATATCAAATTAAACATGAGCAATTTTGGAAAACCTGTGTGTATACTAAACATACATATGAATGTTTTGGTTTTTTAAGAAATCTAAAATGACATCCCCCCCCCAATGTGTTCATACTGTCCTGATTGTTCCTGTTAATTCTCCCCAAACCTGTATTATAAGAAATATTTTATATTTTAGCAAAAATCATTATGAAACGTTAAAGGAGATTACAATGCCCTCCCTAAACACCCTGCTGCCCCTCCTAGCACCCTCTTTAAAAGGGCTACACACCCTACAGGCCCCACATCCTCCTTACAGCAGATTTAGCCCCTCCCACATCGATTTGACTCCATCCTCACCGAAGGAGTTGAGGAAATCGGCGATTTTTTTGATGCTGCTAGTGATGACCTCGATGTACTCCCTGTTGGCCCAGTCCTGGTGAATCTCCCTCTGCACGGGGTCCTCCTGGCTGGCCATTATGTCCCTGGCCTCCGAGGTTGGTACCAAGTGTACTGCAGAAGGGAAGGGGTGGCGACTGCAAGGATCCGCTCCGCCTCTTGGGCGTGTCTGATGAGTCGTACTAACAGCTTCCCCTATAGTCTGCACTGTAATGGAACGTCCTCGGAGGACATCTTTGAATTGGGCAAGAACCACAGTCGCGCACTGAACACGTTTCTTAAGAAGCCATGTCTGAGATGGGCAAAGGGGTTTGTTTAGTCCCTAGAAAAAATGGAATTGGTAGAACAGTTGTGTCTCTGCTGACATCATGAGCTAAAATAATATGACCATGGTATTATTTATATATGCAATAATAAGCATGCATTTAAATAATACCCCACAAATTATGTTCAAATGTTGCTTAAATTTTTTTTCTAACTCTGTTGTAGTCACAGCTTGCCTATTTTAGCCCAAAATTTACCAATGTTCGCTGTTTAAATAATACACTCCTAAGAATTCACTGAATTGTGAATCGAAGTGATCTGTAATTCGTTAGTAAATACAACATATTAGGCTAAGATAGCCAAAATGGAAACGTACCGGTACATGTGCAGATTATTTTCTCCCCTCAGTTTGGTTATTGTGGCTTATTACCTATAATTCATGCTTCTGAATAACTCCATAGACTGTAATATTTATTAAAAATTTTTTTACAAAAAATAGCTGATTATGCAGCAAATTCTGCAGTTTAATTATAGTCTCAGCTGTATGCCACTGTTTAGTGAATAAATCTTCCACGCTCTCTCACTTATAATACGCTATAATATGTGCATGCGCACTCCGTTTCACTAACACTAATTCAAACACAGAGAGCTGGGAATGTGAATCTTCTGGTCTTGAAAATGCTGCGTTTGCAGGACAGGTTGGCGAGACCATGTCAATGTAAGGGTCCTCCTATACTGTGTTCAGATGTTAGCCCTCTGGTGTTCCCGAAAAGTGCACACAAGCAGATCAGCATTAGGTGCAAATAGCACACAGAGCTCCAAAGCAATTATACTAACCTCTATCTGTCTTGAAACTACAATAAATGTGTTAAGAAATTACCGTAGTCTACGTAAATAAGAGGTTAATCAATTCTTGTTCTAAACTGCATTTTGGTTGCATAAATTATTATTAGTAAGTCACCTAAAATTTCTCAGCATAGACCTGCCCCTAAAAGGAAACTTTCCCCCTTTCTCTGTTTGAAATGTTATGGACTGTCCCGCTACTTAGTATATAAACAGAAAAGAGGAATACCGCACACTTATTACAAAACTGGTGCAGCCAGACCTGGGGTTGGCTACCCCTTCCGTAGTTCCAAAATTGTGGTCTAGCCATTCAAGGATCAGTTGAACTGCAGGTTTATTGGAACAAATGCAATGTTTCGATCCCACAGGGGATCTCTCTCAAGCTATTTACTGTCCCGCTACTTTGAGCATCACTCGCCAACCAGCTTGTGGACCACTAAGCTTAATATAATAAATAAAGCAAGCATAAAAAGCAAAAAAAAAAGAGTACCTCTCCTGGCATTAAATAGGCTACTACTGTCAAAAGACCACAGAGTTTTACACATTTCGTGATAAAGTGCTCACTGCAAGAAATGCGTTGATCTCTGCAGTCTTTTGAGCGTAGGAGCCAAGTTAACTGTATGCCAAATTTTCTTATTGAAGTTTGTAATAAACATATAGTGATTTTATTTCCACTAACTCTCAATCCCATTTATATTTCCTGCAATATTGAAAGGTGGTTTGAGTCATCATTGCAGAATCACTTTGGCCCAGTGCAATTAAAAACACTGCTTCTCACTTTAATTCTTTCTCTTCTACATCTCTCTCCACATCACTCAAACAAAACATGATGTAGAAGCCACCTCTTGAAGAGGCATTTAAAACCCAGTCACTTCTAACAACACAGCCAAGTAAACGGAATACGTCAATCCCCTGCTATCGAAGCACTCAAATGCTTAGAGTTACTGGGCCTGACTGGTATGGAAAGGTATCTGTGAGTTTAAGTGTACTAGAATAAATTCTTATCAAGGTGAAGCATCCCTCATACATTCCAGAAAATCCCTGTGCACCTTCCACAAAAATCCTCTCCTTCAAAACAGAAACACTTTAATCATAAAATCTTCCACTATAGGATAACATTTTAACACCATTCAGGGATAGACCACCTTTGGCATTCCAGGTGCCGTGGACTACATCCCCCATAATGCTCTAACACACATAATGCTGGCAAAGAATCATGGGAGGTGTAGTCCAAAACATCTGCAGTGCCTAAGGTTGCCTATGCCTGCCATAGATGGTAGCGGAAAACAGTTTTTTCTTCTAATGATGATAATAGTAATATCTGTCAGCAGCAGTCTTGGTAAACACTATAGGCACCCAGGCCACTTAATCTCAGTTAAGCAGTCTTGGTGCAAAATCCACCTCCTTTTAACCCTGCAGCTGCAAGCAATGTTTCCATTCCGGGGTTTTAATGCCTCTAGTGGCTTTCACTGAGACAGCCACTAGAGGTGTTTCTGATGTACTAGCCAAGTAAAACTGCAGGTGGGGGCTGGTCACCTAAACTGTCACCAGAGCACTATAGAGTTAGGGACATAGATTTGTATTCCTAACTCTATACTGTAGTGTTTCTTTAAAGGTACACTAAGCACCATAACCATTAGAGTGAGGGTTCACCACATGCCTATTAATTCCACAATAGTGTGTCAATTACATTAAAACTTAAACTGCATCGACTGGCTGACTAGATTAACTGACATTTTTCTATCAATCACTGCCGTCCATACTTTGATATAATTTACTTTGCTACAGCGAGTGTAGCTTCCATGTTAGCAATACAGTGAGGGAAAGGCTGGGCTGTGAGCACCTGAGTGACGCTTAAAATGGTTTGATACAGAAACAGGCAATGATGCTAGTAGCTTGCTGGCACCTTAGAAACTCCCCCCCCCACCCCTCCATATAATCAATAAAAATACCCCCAATAAATACAGACTTGAATTTATTGCTGCATTTTTCCCATTTGGGGTATATCTAAAAACAGCTTGCAAAAGATGCAGTTCTCGTCTCTGAAGAATATGCAACCCCTCCCCTTCTAACAGAGCCTTAATTGGCTGTGGCTCTCCAATTCTCTTGAGTTTGGCTCCAGTGAGCTAAGGAACCAGGAAATAACATGACCTGTTGACAGCCAAGGGATATACAAAGTGTAATTTATAAAAGTGTGCATTTCTCTTGAAATCTGCACTTATTGTAAAATGAAAAAAAGGACATACTCTTCACACATAAAGCATTTCATAAAGTGCTTTAGGGGTCTGGTGCACTGCTGTACATATCGCGGTCGCAGGGGTCGCAGCTGCGACCAGGCCTGTCAGTCCAGGGGGCCCGGCTGCCCTGCAGACCCCTAACTGCATGGGCCACCCGATGGACTCCTTGGACAGTGGCCCCGGCGGTTTGCCGCGTGGGCTGGGGCCGCAAATGATTATGGCAGGCACCTGGTGACGATGGAGATGGATTGTCAGGTCAGCACTGCGGCGCTTTAACAGCGCGACCGGGGCCCCTGTGATGAGATCATCACTGCTGGGAGGAAGTGACTGCACGTCACTCCTCCCAACTAACACACAGAGCCCGCGCGGGAGGAAGAACAAGGAGTCAGAGTGGAAACTCTGACTCCCACCAGCCTGAGCCACCACTGGATCCCAGGAAAGTCACCCTCCTGCACCTAAAAGGTAGGAAACATTGTGTGTGTGTGTGTGTGTGTTTGTTTGTATGTATGTGTCTATCTGTCTGTCTGTATGTGTGTGCCTGTCTCTTTGTATGTGTCTTTGTATGTATGTCTTGCGTGTGTGTGTGTGTGTATCTGTCTGTGTGTCTTTGTGTTTGTGTGTATATATGTGTGCCTGTCTGTTTTTATTTATGTATGTGTCTGTCTGTATGTATGTGTGCCTGTCTGTTTGTATGTGTCTTTGTGTGTCTGTTTTTATGTATGTATGTATGTCTTTGTATGTATGTGTCTGTGTGTGTGTGTGTGTGTCTGTTAGGGGGGAGAGTTAGAGAGGGGGGGGGAGAGGGAGGGGAGGGGCCCATGGATCAGTTTCGTACTGGGGCCCCATGGGTTATGTGTTTTTCTGCTCTTAACATTCTCTTCTGAGATGTTCAGAATTACATCTCTTACATACATACATTAGTTCCCTACTATGCATGTAAACTGATCAGCCAAAACATTAAAACCCCTAGTAGGTGAAGTAAATAACATTGATTATTTGGTGACAATGTCACCTGTCAAGGGAACCTGGTCCTGTGGATGTTACTTTGACATGTACCACCTACCTAGAGATTGTTGCAGTCCACGTACACCCCGTCATGGCAGTGATGTTTCCTGATGGCAGGGGTCTTTCAGCAGGATAATGCACCTTGCCACACTGCAAAAATTGTAAGTAGTTTCAACATACCTATTGTGTCCATGATTTATACTAATTATTGATATACTTTTCCTCCCTCCCCCTCTTTTTTTAACAACATAACAATAAAAGTGAAGTTTTAGACATAATATCTCATTATTATCTTGTTTGGTCAGGGATTCCTCTTTAAAAATATATTTAGTTTATGTTCCCCTTCCCTTCTTATCTTTGTGTGGGAGGGGGGACCTTGTTGCCAGCCCTGGTGATCAGGTGGAAAATCTACCCTGCAGTTCCTGGGGTAGAGTTCACTCTCACGCGATTGGAGCATTGCCATAGTAACCGCTGCAACTCTCCGACTTCACGAGAGGAACCCGGCGGAGCTGCAGGATAGTGCTCCCCAGGGTCACTCTCTCCCTCCCTTCCCAGTCACATCTCAGTGCCTGTGGGCCGGTGGGGAGATAGTTTGTCTCCCCAGCAGCCCATGAAGCACGCAGCAGAGCTGGCAGGGGAGATACACTGATCTCCCCAGTCGGCCTCAGTCTATGGCCATCGCAGCCCACCGGGCATTTGCCCGGTATGCCCGATGGCCAGTCCTGGCCTGCTGCATGCACTTCATTAACACAGTCACTGCATCCACTATATACACATATTGTATCTACACACACATTCCATCCACTATATTAACACACACACACACACTACATCGGATCTACTATACAAACACTGCATCCACTATATTCACACACACATTGCATCTACTATACACACAAACACTGTGCATCCATTATACACACAATATACACACACTGCATAACATAATGGACATGGGTGTGTTTTGGTTGGTGTGGTTTTGTTGGATGGGGGCAACATTTCATTCTTTGACTGAGGCAGCACAAAGCCCTGGGCCGGCCCTGCATATGTGGGATGTGCCGGAACAGATCCGATCCCTACCTCACAACTTACAGGAGTTAAAGGATCTGCTACTAATAATTGGTGCCAGATACCACAGGACACGTTAAGAGTTCTTGTGCCTTGACGCTGTCCGAGCCGGTTTGGCAGCACGAGGGGTACCTACATGATTTTAGGCAGGTAGTTTTAATGCTATGGCTCATCAGTGTGTGTGTGTATATAAAATATTCAGCACTAATTTACGTTATTCCTGCAATGGCCAGCTAGCGGTTCTTATGATTTAGTGACACATTTACTTCCACAGTTGTATTTTGTTAACTTGTTGCGGAAAATAATTCTCAAGTACACAGATGATATTATTGTTAACAATCATCTCATTTTCTCCTGAGAGATAAGCATAAAATGCAGTTGTGTACATAATATGCTCAGTCATCGGTAAACCTGTAACCCACATTTATTTTATCTCATATCTGATGATACAGGGCATTATAACAGTAATGGCTAAGCTTGGCTGTTTTTTGTAAAGTATAGTTCTCATCTATGCATATATGTATTGTAAAGGGACGCTGAAGAACTAGAACTAATCTCATTGAATTGATTATAGTGCCTGGTGTCATTCACGTCAACGTTAAACGGTTTCAAGTAGCGTAACATTGTATGAGGATCCCTCGCTGCTCACAGCCCAGCCCCTAGTGGCTAAGGCAGAGATTACTATTCTTCTAGCCCTATCATTCATACCAGCAATGGGTGCTGTAATGGCTGAAAGTGATCATCTGACACTCTTGCCAATTACAGCCAACCATTGCTGCTCAGGCTAACACTTCCCTATTAGTCCATGCAGCACATACAAGATAGGCTGCTGAGGACTCTTTCTTAGCATTAAAACTGTTTTAAAGAAACACTCCACACAGGGGTGGAACTACACATGGCCAAAATGTAGATCACCATCTGTCATACAACACCAGCAGGGTATCTACCATTTGCCCATCCTTGCAGGGTTGTATTTAACACTAAGCAGTGTTTGTGTGTTTGAATGCAAGCATGTTTTTGTTTGGCGTATATCGTTACACACACACACACAGCTATAAACATACAGATACACAGACACACAAAGACATACACAGGTGCACACATTGACACACACAGATACACAAACACAGATAGACACACATACAGATACACAGATACAAAGCCACACAGGGGAACACAGTGACAGACACACATTCATTTACACAAACAGAATGACACTCATACAGGTAAAGACACATACAGACACACATGCAAATACACAGACACGCAAACAAAATATAATTTTTTTTAGCCACCCTCCTGTTTCCCCTCTTTAGGGTACAGGATAGTGGCTTCTCTGCAGGGCCGGCACCACCGTTAGGCGAACTAGGCATTCGCCTAGGGTGCCGGCCTGCTGGGGGCGCCCACTGGGATATTTCCTGGTCGGCTCCCCCTGTCTTGGGCCGCTCCTCCAGGCCCAGAGGAGCCCTGTCACAGTATGGCAGAGCAGGCACCTTCTTACCTTGATGACAGGTGCCTGCTCTGCCATCAAATGCCGGTGACCGGAGGAGAGGAGATGGAGCAGGCAGGCGGCGAGGGAGGCTCTTCTTGCAACCTCTCACTCCTCCCTCACTAACACTCTGTGATAACGGAAGACCGGAATATGATGTCATTCCAGCCCCCAGCATACTAAACAGCGCGCTGGAAGAGTGAGGAGCTGCTCCACACTGGACCCCAGGGAGGTGAGTGTTTGTCAGTGAGTGTCTGTGTGTGTCCATCTGTCAGTGAGTGAGTGAGTCTGTCAGTAAATGTCTGTCAGTGAATGTATCTATGTCAGTGAGTGAGTGTATGTCTGTCTGTCTGTCAGTGAGTGAGTGTATGTCTGTCTGTCTGTCAGTGAGTTTCTATGTGTGTGTCAGTGAGTGAGTGAGTGAGTGAGTGAGTGACATGAAGGGGCGGCAAAATGGATCTTTGCCTAGGGAGGCAGAAATCCTTGCACAGGCCCTGTTTCCCTGGGGTCCAGTGGGCTGCCTGAGGCTGTTGGGAGTCAGATGTTCTCCCACTCAGCCTCTCCTCAAGCCTGGTATGGAGTCTGTCATTTTCTGGACAGTTTATGAAAGTGCGGATTTAAATATAAAGCAGCACTTGTAAATTTGGGGGCAGAAACAACTCCTTGGCTGTAGCTCAGATAACCAAGGATATTTTCTTCCTCTTCCTCCACAAAGCCAGTGGAAGTGGCAGTCACAATGTGCAAGTGCACGTCTGCCTTCCCCTCTTTTCAGAGAAGCCTCTGAATTGAGTTTTTGCTGGGGAGTAAAGGGAAGGTTTGCAAAGGATGCAAAAAAAAAAAAACCACCCAAAAAAAAAAAAAAGATGCACATCAAATTTGGGAGTGTTTCATTTAGAATTACACTAAACTGCACCAAAAAAACAGCCCTATTTAGTAGACATATCCCTAATGGAAACACTTGCCAATGTGGCTCAGTGAGATGTCTTTGCAAGGCAGGTGCTCTGCGCAATTGCCTGCATTTTTAATTTAGCTCCACTGAAGTAACAGGATCAGTTGTCTAATTGACAGCCTGAGGAGTAGCTCCACAAAGTAACAGGACCAGTTGTCGGACAGCCTGGGGGTGTAATAATTAATAGAAGTGCCAATTATCTGCACTTCTTCCAAAATGAAGAGGTCACACTCTTTACACAAAGTACTTCACAGCAAACTAAAGTACTTTAGCTATTTGGTGTATATCTTTAATTCTCAATGTTGGGACAGCGCTAGGGGACTCTAGACACGATGACCACGCTCAATAAGATTAAGCAGTTACAGTGTCTATATTATCCCTTTAAATAAACAATTGTTTGAGTATTTATCGAAGCGTTTTGACTTCCAAAGACTTCTGGGAATTGTAGTCCAAACATAACTGGTCTGCTGAGGTTAAGCTCTACAGGGTTTCTGATACTTTCCATAAATTGGAACATCCTAGCCCATTGTTTCAGGATTGTATTGATTGAAACTGCAAGTATGGTAAATGTTTGAGGAACATGCAAATGTTGCTGTTAAGCCTGCTTGAGAGCAATATTAGTTATCAGTATAATTTGAAAGGCGGGTACTCCCTAAACTCACCTTAAAGGGACACTTCACTGGCCAAATAAAAAATAAATCAAGATTTATTAGAACTACTTAAAATTTCAAAATGCATGCATTTTCAATTGGGGGTATAAATAAAAAAAAAAAACTTGCAAAAGCTGCAGTTCTATTGCCTGCAGCCTTTGCATGCCTTCCTCTTCTTCCCCAGCCCAGACTTTCTGTGGCTGTACAATCACAGACTTCACAATGCAGCTCAATGAGAAGTCTTTGCAAGGCAGATGTTCTGAGCAATTGTCTCCTTTTATAGTTCAGCACCACTGAGCTAAATAAACCAGGAAGTAACAAGGCCGGTTGTCTGCTTGAAAGTCGGGTGGAGGCTGGGGTGATGTAACAAGGTTAATTTAGAAAAGTGCTAATTTCTCAAATCTGCACTCTTTGTAAAATGAAAGAAAGAAAACACTCTTTACACAAAGCATTCCAGCAAGCACGAGTGTGTCAGGGAGTGTCCCTTAAACTCTTTGACACAATACGGTACTCTGTACTGCAATGATGCACCTAACTTGCATGGGCTTGTTTGTTTTTTAAATTTGGATTGTAGAATAATACAGTCATTGCTGTCACCCAAGAGAAGTCCGAGTATGAGCAGAGAACTTATTTCGGTGTCCTTAGATTTAATTTTCCATTGAAATAATAATGCCATGCGTCTCAAAATTCTGTTTAGTTGATGTCATGATCACTATATTAAACATTTATGCAGAATATATGGTTCTGTGGAAACAGGGTGTGTCAAAGATCAGAATTAGCGATAAAAAATAAATAAAAAGTGATTCATGTCAGTATTACTGAATAATCCTCTCCAATTTCACTTGTTCCTACAGAAAGTTGCGTGTGAACATTTGACAATCCTCGAGGAGGTTTAGTAAAACCTGATGGGATTTATGCACTAAACAGCATATTTTAGTGAATTAAACAAAGTTGGCAAAATGTAAGCAAAAATAGCAGATTTTAGAAAACATTCCAATTTGGTTCTAGTTATACCTTGGCCAATTTAAACTTATATTTTGTAATTCAGTTTTCTATTCACCACAATTCGCTGTTTAGTGTATAGACATAATGTGCATTTCCTATTCTTTCTTTTTCGGTATTACTTTCCAACTTCAAATTCCATTAGTGAGGCAATTCACTTTGCTTTAAAAAGATTGATTTCAACCTGGATTAGAAGAATAAGTGGTCAAAAGAACCAAAGTTGCAATAACTGGATTTGTAATTCTCATGCTTGCTTAAGGCCAACATGGCTTTAATTTTTAAATTAAAATCAACCTGCCCCTGTTCCCTTAACCCTGCAATGTAAAACTGCATGGCTTACATTGAGGAGTTAACTTCTCTCTCTAATGGCTGTCAGTGTGACAGCCACTACCATGCCACAGACTGAAAAAAGCTTGGTCATGTGACATGGAATCCACACAGAAAACATTGATTCATGGGAATGTTTTAATGCGCATGCAACGATTGCCGCACATGCACATTAGATCCCCAATGTACCTCTATGAGGAGCATTGGTTTGGACCCCACCAGAGGATGCCCTGCCTCCTTCATCAAGGCAACTGAGGGAGAGGTGATCAGCACCAAGGGAGTGGTGGCATTGGGAACAAGTTAAGCATAAATGGTTTTTAACCTTTTCACTACTGAATGGTGGTGGTGGGGGAATAGAGGGGGGTAGTAGATCTAGGGACAGGAACACTAAAAAGTTAGGAATACAGGTTTGTATTCCTAATGTTATAGTGTTCTTTAAACTCATTAATTCCCAAAAGTGAATCCTATATAAAATATAGGATTTGCAGATTTAGCAAAAACCAAATTCCACTCCTGTAGAAAGCAAAGTCACCTGCTTCTTGCAGGCAAACCGAGAAAAAGCCAATATAAGGAGGTACCAAACTGTTAAAATAATCATTAATTCACAGCCTTTGTTAGCCATGCTCTGGAACTTCCCTCCCCCTCCAGTGAGGGGGATTGTGCTGCAGGGAGAATTTGTCCTAGACATGGGCTGCAGGTAACTCTTAATGAAAGGTCGGGGGGAGGCATGCTACCAAAAAGTTTACGCAGTCTATGCTATAGATAACTTCTCAGGTGTGAAATCCTTCGTCACTGTTAGAAAAGGTAATTTATATCTGCAATATATTCACCTCTGATAGGGGTAAGATGTTGGTTTCTTCACCAATAATTTGACCTCTGTTAATATTGCTTCCTGTATGACTGGATATGCTCAAAGTTTCCATTAAAAATAATGTGCAATTAAATTTTTACATACTAAATTATGACAACATTAAGGGTAGTTTCTGATAATGTGTGCGATCCAGCAACCTCTGGGCCAAAGAAATATACTCAACTGTCCATCTATCTACAATAAGACTTTTATTTTATGGTAGTGACTAAAAAAAAATTTTTTAAATAATAATGTCACACTCTCAAATGGACTGGAAAATATTACCATATCAAAAGACCATTATTACATTTCCTAAGGTCCTAAATGATCATTTAAAACACGACTTGTTCCTACCGAACAGACTAGTGTAAATAGATATACTCCGATACATGAATATCATAATAAAAAATAAAAAAATATAGAATTTTTTTTTTTTTTTTTAAAGATACCCCAAACATTGATTTGAGTGGGGCAACTAGATTTTTTTTTTCTCTCCCACATACCATCTTTCAAGTCACAAAAATTTAAAATTTTACTGGAAAGAGTAACTGGAAACCGGAGATCAATACAAGAGACTTTATTAATAGACCATACTCTACTACAATACCCAGAATGAAAATATCTGTAGTGATTTGTTGACATAACATATTTAGTAACATAAAGTAGTACATCTGCCCATATACTATATAAATGTGTGAATATAACTTTTTTTCCTCCCACTAGAAGACATGTGATTGATGTCAGGCACGGGCAGACACCACTTTACTTAAACCGGAGAAATAAGATTTCTCGCGTTCGCTCATCACCTCGAAGTGAAGCGGTTGTCTGCAAAAGTTACATTCTGCTGTGGAGTGGGGTTTTAGATCCAAGCCAACTTCCTTCCAGGTGATCAGTAGTTTTTCTGTAAGAAGAACAAAATGTATGATACAAAATTAAAATGCCAGCACAATATATACGGGAGCAGGACAGCTTGAGGCTAAACTTTGATCAGCTAATAAGGCATTAAAGTAAAAAGTTAAGAAGGGTTTATTTACTAAAGTGAGAAATGTTATGGAATTCAAAGTGAATTTCAAACTTAAGGCCAAAAGCAGCTGTACCGAAACTCTTTTGACCTTAAAGTTTGAAATTCACTTTAAGTTACTGACAATTCTCACTTTGGTGAATAATCCTGAAAGACTTCAAAAACCACTGTGGTTTAACATGTGGTTCTCATGGCTGAAGATACAGTTGATAGACATTCCATCGTTGCTCATAAAACACAAATGACCACTTCTATTTATCCCGGGGGGTGGCAATTAAACATTTGTGTTATTAACTAAACAAGGAATTCAAATGGACGGAGAAAGAAATTGCAAATTATAGGAACATTTTTTTAAACTATCCAATTCTGTTATTCTGGCCTAACATTTTCCAGTTCTCTTGTCAACTCTCCATAGTTTCCAGACTAATAAATAAGCCCCTAAGGTAGTATGGGATGAAATATAAATTTATTGGTATGAGAGAACGTACCCAAGAAATAGCTCATCATCTGAGGCGTGTGGTGAGGTGTAGGAGCAATCCGAAGAAGCTCTTCTCCACGTGGTACAGTAGGATAGTTAATGGCTTGGACGTATATATCATAAGTGTTCATCAGTTTATCACATATCTCTGTGTTTTTGGCAGCATCTGCAACCTGGAGGACAAATGCATATACTTATTCTAAAATGCCACAACTATAGAGAAATTTTAATAGTCTTGCTCTACCCCAGACATGCTGGCTTTAGGCATTATAGAAAACAATGATTTAAAGCAACATTAAATATATATCAGAAGCAGTCATTTTTCCCAATACTTATGGAAAACGTTTACAAACTTTTAATCTATCATTTGTGCTAGTGAAATTACCAGGCAGATGAAGGCAACATTGTACTTTGTCATTTACATCCTGGTCTCTACTGTGGGCAGCTTCCCAATTGGATTCTATTAATCCAAGTTAATAGGACTTGTCTCTGCAGAGGTAACACATACACACTTTTTCACAACAAACCTTTATACACCTTATCTTAGCCCCTTGAGGACACACTGTTTTCATAAGCAAAAGACCAGCATTATGGAAATTTCTGTCATGTTTCCTTAAGGGGGTTTAAAAGTTACTCCAGCAAAATTACCACTTCAATTCTTTGAAGTGGTCATGGTGCTCAGTCTGTATGTGCAGCTTGTCAATACGAAACTCTGACAGCAATATAATATATCTCCGTATGTGCAGAGGTGTAACTTCACACACGGAAGGGTTATTAGCATGCCATTAGCAACCCGGAACAAGAGAGTGTTAGGCTAGCTAATGTCAATTCTTTGAATATTCTTTGTACAGAAGGTCATCCAGTGACTGAAAGTGCTCAGCTGCTGCTCTCAGCCCAAGAATGGCTGATGGATCAGCATCAGAGAAGACTCTGCGCCAGTTAGGGACCCAGGTAAGACAGGAAACCAGGATAGTTAACGTGTTTAAAGAGATTTGGTTTAACCACTTCAGTTAACAAACATTGCTGTTTAAACAAATACAAGAATATGTAAGCTATATAATGTTATTGTTTTAGTTACCCTTCTCTAACATTCTATATTTGATACCCATGGCCAAGATGTGCTTGTCTACAGAGAACTACCTATCCCTCACCCTTTCTGCACCCTCCACCTCTTTCACAGTTGCCATTTTATTTTCCTCTTTGTTCTATGCAATAGTTAAGTGGGCACCATAAATATTTGTATATGTTATGCTATGTGATGACGGCATTTTGAGGAGTGTGCTCTGCTCTGAACCATAAGTATCCTTGTTGCTCAAAAACATTATAATTGCTTGTGACCATGTAATATGAATTATTTGTACGTCCTTTTGTTTCTGTGCAAACTGAAGTGAATTTCTCAACAATAAATATATAAAAAATCATGATTCAAAACAAGTCTTAAGGATTAGTGATTTAAATCAAATCCAACCTGATGCAGGGAATTATGAAATGCTACACACAGGACTGTGGTTCATAGTTGCATCCATAAGAGAACATTTTTAGTATTTGATAAAGACAATCTTTATAAAAACACTCAGCACTGACTGTGTTGAAACATAAATTGAAACTCCAATACCATCATACATATTTTCTAGGGACTACTTTGCCTTACAGTAGATCCCGGAGGTTGACAAAACTTGACAGAAGGTGGGCTTCCCCAATAAAGTTTTGTTTTCCCCAGTCATTGCTAGCTACAGCTCTGGGAATCAGGCTTCTTTTTGATTCAAGACTTACAGAGGAGCCTTCTTGAGGTCCCTGTTGACAAACTCAAAAAAAAAAAAAACTATAAAAAGGTAAAATTAGAAAATAATTTCATGTCACCAGGTATTATTTGAACTTGAAATACAAGTCACAAGAGAGAGGGGTTTCATTTCTTTTATAATAAAAAAATAAAAATAAAATAAATAAAAAACTATAAAAAGGGGTGGGATTGGGAAGGAACATAAACATCTAGCAACAAAACGCATTCCTGTCTAGAAATAGTTTTGACAGATAAAATCTTAAACAAGAACCACAACAATTTGTTAATAGTTTAAGATGAATATACTCAAATAGAAGCATTATTTAAGCATTAAAGGACAAGTAAAGGCACCCAGACCACTTCATTTTAATAAACCCTGCAATGCGAAGCATTTCCATACAGAAGATCTGGCAATGCTTACCTTGCAAGGTTAAAACATGCCACTAGTGGCTGTCTTTCTGACAGACACAAAGTGTTGTAAAAAGAAAGTCAAACTCTGCTCGTACAGCTAACTTAATTTCAATGAGGAGAACAGTGATGGTCGTGCATGCACCTTTCGGCCCCAAAATTCCTCTATAAAGAGCACTGGACTGGACAAAAGAAGAGCTGCTATGATATTGCAGGAAGCGGGGTAGGGATGGTGGCGGTGGTAAGTCCTTCCACCTCTATGTTTTAAATTTGAGAATGGCTTTAAACCAAATTCATAGGAGAACATTGTGTTCCTTTAAAGGAATATCTGCAGTGTTAGCAATACAAATCTATGCCCAATGAACTGAACTGGTCTAAGTAACTAAGGTGTCTCTTTAAAAGTGTCCCAAAGCTCAAAGATATGTGAGAAGAAAAAACCAAAACAAAAAACAAAAAAAGCACTGTTCTTGTAATCTTAGCAGAACAGTGCCACCCGTACTTAAAGTGAACAATGTGGGATTTAACTCCACGGATATTAATCCTATTTCTAAACCTCACACTGCAGGTTCAGTCCCCAATAAATTCATTAAACCTCGACAAAGTACAAAAATAAAAAAGGAACAGGGAAACACAAAAACAATCACAAACAAAAATAGATATTGTAGGAGGTATTACCAATCTTTTGCAGGATCAATTTACTTTTTCTCTAGCTTCTTTCACGTTTCTTCTTTCACATTTCTTCAATAATTTGAGCTAAATACCAAAATCCACAGTGCTTATATATGAAACATTAAACATTGTTCCAAATGCAGCGTGTGGCTTCTCTCCTATATTCCTGTGCATAAGGAGAGGGGGCCTTCAGAGTGGAGGTCACGTAGGTTGGTTGAGCTTTTAAATTATTTCATTTTCTTTTGATTTTTCCCAATCACAATATACTTACATGCACAGGTCTTTGTTAAGAGGTATTAAAGAAATAGTGTAACACACTTACTCTGATTGGGATAATGTGGCTTGGGCAATGTACAACTGGAAGGCCGGCATCCATCAGCATCTGTCTCAACAGTTTAACATTGCGTTGGTGCTGGCGACGGAGACCCTGTCCTTCTTCGCTCTTCAATACTTTTACTGATGCCATTGCTCCAGCAAGCAGCATGGGGGGTAAGGATGTGGTGAAAATAAAGCCTGCTGCATAAGATCGCACAGTGTCTATTAAACCACTGGTGCTTGCCACATACCCACCAACACAACCGAATGCTTTACCTGGGAGAAGAAATAAAAAAAGAAAAAAAATTTGGTTATGCTATGAAATTGTGTGACAAGAATGCAATCACATTGTATAGCGATTTCAAAACATACTTCCTTGGACTACTTGTTCCAAAGATAGAAGAAATACAAAAAAACTACAGTATCAGAAATTGTCCGAACATGTTTCCTTTGACATCAGATTTAATTAATTAATAAGCTGCAGGCAGTCAAAGGTGGTTACTATGTAGCGGATACAATTCAACACAGAAAGAAAACTAAACATTCTTACCAAGAAAACAAAAAGACTTACCAAGAGTGCCTGAAATGATATCCATCTTTTTCATTACACCATCGCGGTCTCCTATTCCACCTCCTTTGGCGCCATATAAACCGACAGCATGAACTTCATCAACAAATGTAATTGCTCCGTATTCGTGGGCCACATCACACATTTCCTCCAGAGGACAGACAGCACCTGTAACAATTTAATTTGCCCATAAACTGAGGATTATAATCCACAGTACATTCAAAACTGTGCAAACAAAGTGGAAATATTTGTTTCAAAGAACATTTTAAATGATGACAGACTGGCTAGTGTAATCATTTTCATTAATGTACTTATAAGGGATCATATATCAACACACACTCTACTACAGAACTTAAAACCTTACCATCCATGGAATGGACTGTTTCAAAGGCCACAATCTTTGGAGTAGACGGATTGGAGTTCTTCAAGATGTCACGAAGATGGGCAACATCATTGTGGCGAAACACATATTTGGGTACTCTGCTGTTACGGATTCCTTGAATCATTGAGGCATGGTTTCCAGCATCAGAGTAAATTTCACATCCTAAAATTAGTAAAATACAATAATGAAATCCAAGATAGCAAACCACCCGCAAAGCTCTCAGTACATTATTACAATATTATCGATGCTTGGACCGATTCTAACTTGATATTATGCAAGTGAATTCTCCACATTATTTTTTTTTTTGCAAAACTGCTCTGGGAAGTGGGTAACACCACCAACCTTGTGGTAGAGTTTTGGCTGTATTAGAGCAAGACTCAACAAAAGGAAGAAATCAAGGCTGCATTTACAGTTTTTTTTATTCTTTTTTTAAGCTAGCAAACATGAAGACTAAAGCACTGGAAGTACAATGTGTCTCCATGGGTCTCAGGGACGTTCCACTTGAAGATTTCATAAGTGGGCACATAGGTCTGGGAAAATAAGCCATGAGTGTGAGAAGGATAGCAGAGGATTACAGTTCTATTCTTTGCCAAAATGTTCACTTCTCATAAAACAAGTTGCTCTTTGGATTTACATATGTCTAAGGACCTCTCCTGTGGGGTTCAAGTGCTCTGTCACTACCAGATGAGAATTTTATTATAAACATTTAATCTGTTAAGACTGATTGTACTATAACCCACAACAACTACACAATAGATTTTTTATTCCAATTAATTCTACTGAAAATTATAACAAGTCAGATACTAAGCCCCCTGGGTTAGTCAATTAAACTTACAAAAGACAAAGTAAAATGGGTCCTATTAATAAAACAAAAGTGAATTCTGCTTTCAGCAAAATGTTGACGATTTTGGACACAAAAGATAAAGGCAAGGCATGTTGTCATAACCCAGGAGTGTTAAGTAGTTCCATTCATATGCATGAGAGCATTGATGTGCTCTTGCAGACTGCACTATATCCACCCTTTAAATGATAAATGTATCTAAAACAGCACCTGACACACAAAAAAAACCAAACAAACACAACACTGTCTTGGTGTAACTAATAGTAAATAACATTTCTGTAGATGGCAGATGCAGTGCTTGGATATCCTAGGATCTTGGTAGAACACATTTGGGGGGAAATTAGTAAGCTAATATGGGAATGGACACAAGATCTTGTTTGTTTGATTTGTGCAATTTATTATTTTTCATTGCTCCACCACTCATTGTCACAATAGGGGATACTTGCCAAAAAGTCATTGTTTACTTTGCCCACTGAAAGACACATACCCTCCTAGTAAAAAGGCACCAATCATTTTGGAAATCAATTAGATAATTGAATACTGCTAATGTCAACCGTTGGCAAAAAAAAAGAGTAGACTAAACAAACACAAGACCTTCAAAACTTTGCGTAAAAATGGGAAAGTCCACCATAAATCAAGACGGAAACAAGAATACAGAAAATAATGAGGTATTGTGAAAGATTAGACTGAGCAAATCAATGGGGAGTGGAGGACAATGCAAATATGTAAACCAGTAAACTCTATACTTAGAAATAATGAAGGCAGAGAGGAAAAAGGAAGGAGGAAATATATAAAAAACAAAACAAAAAAAAACCCACACACAATAAGATTGTCCTTACAATTAATAAAGGCACACACCTTAGTTATTTTTTTTTTTTTTTTTTAAATGCACCTTACAGCAAACATGACTCATTGATAGCATATATAGGAAATTATTTAACTATACCTCGGCAGCAAACCAATAGCAGCATATGTGCTACTTATTCTAAGAGCATTTAATCAACACCCTTGTCTGTATTTTGTAATTCCATCTACAGGACACCAATTAATTTTTATTTATTTTTTTAAATCCTATAGTTTAGTTATGTGAATCGAAACTCATTACCTGGCAACATTTTAGCTAGAGTGAAAAGTGTAGAGTCATTTGCGACAAAGCAGGAGGAGAATAGTAATGCCGCATCTTTCCCATGAAGGTCGGACAACTCGTGTTCCAGATCAACATGAAATTTACTGGTTCCCGATATATTCCTTGTTCCACCAGCTCCAGCGCCATGGAGTTTTAGAGTATCCCTGAAATAAAATGAATTATACTTTACATGCACAAAACAAACAAACAAAAACAAAAAAATATCTATTTTCATTCGAACATGATTACATATAACATTTTAGATAAAAATTTGTAACACGTAAATAGAAAATACTGAACTATGCGTTTACTCTGCAATATGACCTTTTGTTAAGCAATACACAAGTGAGGGAATTATTGCCTTTGTTATACAGCATACATGTATTCTGCAGCACAACACAGTGCTACTATTGGAGAAATAGATCTGTTACTTTCCAGTTACAATTAAATGCTCTCTTGATATAAAAGAAACCCAGTTTTGTAATTCTGGCAAAGGAATATTAGGAGTTCGTGTTTACAGATAGACAGAAAAGTCACAAGTTGCAAATCTCTTATTCACATGACTGTAAAATTAATACAATATAAAGATTGTTCTCTCTTTCCTCTCTGCCCAATAAACTGTTAAAGCACTTTATTAATTTAATTAAAAAAATTAATATATATTTTGAAAAATCCTCTCAGTTCCTGTTATATTTTGATTACACCTACAATTTCGACATTCAAAGTGTTAATTATACCAATCCTTCCCAAGTTAATAAGCATTGCTCTCTCTCTATTTTAATATTTCAAAACTGAAGGTTAAAGTAAATTTTGTACCTAGGATTATTAAGATTGTTATGGTAACCAAAAACCCACACCCAGGATCCAAAGTGTAATATGCTATTGGTGAAACCCAGCTCCGCTAACACCATCTTAGATACTCTGCCAGTTTGCTTTTATTACATAGTTCATTAGAGAAAATAGAAAGAAAGAAAAAAAAAAAAAAAAAGTGTTTTGAAAGGACTGAAATTTGAGAGGATATTGCGAGAACAGGCTGTAACCTAGATTATGAAAGCAAAGCCCTGTGTGAAAACAACGGACATTGTAGAATTAATTCACATATACAGTTACACACAGCAGCTGCAAGGACTAGATTTAGGTTAAAAATGTAAATGGTATAGTTATGTCAGGTGATACTTATGTAGTGTCAACCAAGCAAGAGAAATATGGTTGAAATGTGCATTGTGCAATGAGGACAGTAAAGGGTAAATGCAGAATTGCTTGCCCTGTTTACTCCCACTCAGGTTTCCAGTAGGTTCAACACAACACCTACATAACTATTTGTCTTTGGCTAATAATGATGAGAGTCTATGCTCCTGTAACACAAAGTAAATGGTAGAGTTACCTAAATTACACGAATTAAAAAAAAAAATAAAAAAAAAAAAAGAAACCGCACAACCTACAGACATTAGGGGTACTTAACAGTAGAATTAGAATTACACCCCTTCTGTCAGAAGCTGCATTTATTAAATCATTTCCCAGGCTCTGATTCACCTCCAATATTCAAAATACTACTTACCTATATATGCAAGCTTCTTCTAGGAGCTCTTTCTACACTTTGAAAAAGCCTTTATAAGGTGAAAGCATTAACATTTTTTTATTGTTTTTAAATAGTTATAAAAGTTCCCATTTTATCCTTGCTCCCGGATGCCTTTTCATCTGTGAAAATCTTTCCTGATATATCCATAGTGAGCATTCTATCCACTAAAGTGTTTAGGATTGAGCAATACCTATAGATTGCTCAATGACATGTAAGTAGCATTCTTTTCTTCTACTACATAATTTTGTCTACAGAGAGCACTATATTTTGTGTTTTGCTCTTGAACAACATCGCTGACTACTCCTGATTAAAATATCTGACAGTTGGGACACCACGGTATGCTGATTTATTAGAGCCATATAGGGCTCTGTTACATGTGAGTGGATAAACTTTATACTTACGTTATTAAACACCTGCCTTACATACTACAACATATTTGTTCCTGTACTTTGTTACAAAAAGATCTCTCACGTATTCTTAGGTAGGGATTGTTCCACACAAATCCATTATCTTAGAGTTGAAGTGAAGTTCCACCTAATGTAAGTGGCATTCCACACTTATTCTTGTTCTGAAGTGGAGATAAACTTCACCATTGGACCTTTTTAGTTATTTTTGTCTTGCTTACATTTCCTTGAATGTAGGTACTTTTGGCTATTCAGTTCATGCTGGACCAACTCAGGTTTCATCATAAAATGCTGTGCATATACAAGATGTATGCTAGGGTAGAATGCGGTTGGATTATCCCTTTAGTTAAGTGACTAAAATGCATTAATTCCTTCCTCCATGACTGAATGTAAGGAATTAGTGATTGGCTACATTTCAATAGGATTTCAAGGGAATGGAATTTAGTGAGCCATAAAAGGACTTATTTCATACCAAAATTTACTTACATCACAGCTTCAACAACTTTGGGATGGCGGCTCATTCCCAGGTAGTCATTGCTGCACCACACGGAAACTGATTTTTTGGTTATCAAAGAATTTGAATAATCATCTGCCATTGGAAAGACCTGGGCTCTGCGATTCACAGTTTTGAACACTCTGTAGGTGTGGTCATTTTTCTTCTCTTCAATCTTCTTTTCAAAGAAGGTGTCATACTTAAAAGTGGGCACAGCTTGAAAGGTAAAAAAAAATGTCAATCAAATTTTTTTCAAATAGCAGTATTTCTTATTGCCAGCTTAATGCAGAACAGGTTGTTGAAAATAGTGAACGCTAGGACAAAAAACAAAACTACGAGCTCTGGACTGAGAATACGAATGATCAATTGCAACTATAAACACAGCCAGCAGAGGATTTTTGATGTGGAGGTTAGAATAAATAGGAAAGAGCCCCCACCAACAGAAATAAAACAAAAGATAAATAAAAATTATATTATAATAATAATAATAATAATAATAATAATAATAATAATAATAATAATGATATACACACACACACACACACACACTTATACAACTGGAGAGTCCATAATGGTGATATTTAAATACAGCCGTGTGACTAAGTGCAGCCATGACCTATGTGAATATAGGATCTCCTATCCGGCGATTGTGGAGTGAGCTCTCAAATTTAACTGATGAGTAATTGACATCACACCCTGGAGGCCAATTATCAGAGAATCAAAGATTGTTGGGAACATTTAATTGTAGATGTACAAGCTAAACCATAATTACTATCACCAGATAACAGTTTTAATAAAAGGACACTTATAAAAATAGATGAGATGATTGTTTATTTCTCATTTTCCACAAGGCAGCATTATGGGAGGAAGTATTTCTTCTTAATAAGTGTCACTTTTATTTTGTCTTTTAAATAGGAAAATGTTATTTTCCCCACAAATATGCTAATCACTTATAATATAAAAATGTTATGTCACACTTTTTATTTTTTTTAATAAGTAACTGATTGTAATGTGTTTACAAAGTTGTATTAGAAATAAACTCCAGATTTTCCAGAGCCATTTGGATTTAAAAAAACAAAAACAAAAAAACATAAAACCAAACAATTTTGTGCTCCGATTGTAAGGAATTGTGCATTTGTTTACAATGTTTGTAAATTGCAGGTTTTTCTTGTATCAAGAGCTATGAAAGGAATACAATATTTACATTTGGGCATGTTATCCTGCAGAAGGTGAGAGACGGCTTGGGGTTTCTGGCGAAGCACTCGCTCTTGGAATTTTTCCAACATTCCAATTGTGTTTGGGGCCTTTTCTTCAGCTGCTCCAGACGCTCTTGTAGATTTGCTTAGATCTAGAAAAAAGTAAACACTTCATCAATGTTAGTCACAAAATTAAACAAATCTAATCATATGGGAGTCGTAAAAAAAAAAAAAAGAGCTAGTGTGCCCTCCCATCAAAACAGGTTAGTATAGGCGAATCCAAAGCCAAAACGCTTGTGTTATGGGCTGGCAGAGCATTATGGGAGTTGTAGCTCTACATCAGTGGGGTGGGGGAGTGTTGAACCGCCCTTGATAAAGATGTAGGAAAGAGGAACAGGATAGCATGGTTACAATTTAACAGAAACATTTTATGCAACATTTACCTAACTACTCAACTTGAACAACTTCCTCGTATGAAAAGTGTTTCTACACCTACGGCTTTCTGTTGAAAAACCGTTCCTGCTTCCAACTTCCCTCACTTACTTCTTAAAAACTGATGGCGAAAGTTTACTAGTCGTTACATCCTAGAAGGATCAATGTTATTCTTTTTAGACACCATTCTTTGATCCTTGGTAGAATGTTCTGTGTTCTGTTACCAGTACGCTGTACAGGCCTATCATGACTGCATTAGTAGAGCATTCCATTTTAGAATAGAATCCTAAAAGGGGGCGTCAGGCTGCATTTGACTCATGACAAAATAAATAAAAAAATAAAATAAAAAATAAAAAAGGTATTACTACACACTTATAGCTGTAATATGGCAAGAGTTCCACTCATCTTAGGGGGCTTTTATTTTTTGTTATCTCAAATATTACATGAAACCCTTTAAAAATCATATAATTGTTTTTTCCAGGCAACCATTCAACATTATCATATAGGAAGGAGCCTTGAAACATACTGGTGAAACGTGCTGTTTCATGTACTCACCACTGGGGGTAGTGGACCCATCGTCCAGAAGACCGGAGCTGCAGAATATCACTCAGCACCCTGCTAATTTCAATTTATTGCAACCTGGAGCTGGCTAAAATAGGCTTAGAGAACTAGGCTTTTAGTGAATTATTCTTATTTCCCGTGACATATTGTTACACTGTATATACACACACTGCATATGTGTTCTCATTTATTTGCTACAAGGTTGCTTTTTATGTCCATCTGTATCCTTACAGTGCTTGTGATTATTACTATGAAGTTGTTACTTTGTGATGTCCCTAGACAGAGGAAGCACTCACTCTGAAACATATCAAATACTGATACAGCATTCGTTGAGATGTGCTCAAATGCCTACATTTTTTAAATAATATGCCACATGTATTAATATATATTAATAATTTGCAATTTATATTAATGCACTGACAGACGATCTTCCTATTTGTTCACAAGTTTAAAATCGATCACGGCTCTGCGTTTGGTTGCAATAGCAATAAGCTGAATCACAGGCCATTAAGAAGAAGGCCTTTAAGTTGGTGAGTGGTAGCATGCTCACCTGTATGTTGGTCATTTGCCAATTTTTTGGCATGCATGCCGTTTACAGTGAGTAGGCAAGTTTCATTTCAGTTTTTGTATATATGTATATATCATATTTTAAATATTTTAATGCTATGCATAATGAAATGTTGCTACAGACTTTAGAGTTTAAACCTCCAAAATACACGATTTACCACAAATTGGAATTGTAAAGTGCTGCAGAATATGTTGTCGATATGCAATTTCTAATAATAATTATGATAGCGACAGACTTATTGGTCCTTAACAGTTTAAACTATTGAAATGGGAGTCTTACATTTTTTACTTTACATTAATAGCTTGCATATTTAGACTGCAGTTTAATAACCAAAGCTTGAGGCAGGTATGGACTTACAGTTGGAAAAACCAGCTATTCGTGAAAGGTTTAGATTTTCACCTACTGTCACAACTAAGCTTAGTAGAGTACCATATAAAAGTAAAAAAAAAAAAAAAAAAAACATTATACATGATCAGATTTCAACTCAATTGGATACAAACATATTTAGGTATATTTTATTGAAACGTATTTACACACCTTCCCTCATTGTTTGCATCTCATGCACGTCCTCTTGTAACGCAAGGCTGGCCTTCCGGAAAACACTGGTGGTCTCTTGGCTCATACGTGCAGCCAGAAAAGGGCACTTTGAAGAGCTCTGGCTGCCATTTGGTCCCATGTGGTCTGCAGGCGGCTCAGAGGGGACATTAGGCAGTTCTGAAAGAAATATAGATGTATTTAAAAATATATATTTTTTTTTTAAATTACTGTATTTAAGGCACAATTCATATTAAACACAATGATAAAAAATGGAAAAAAAAAATAGGTAATTCTCTGCAATCTCTAGAATGTTACAAAAGCAATAAATTGAGTTATTCACTAAGCCAGGAACCGGCATTTAGGTCAAATAAGCAGAGCTGAAAATAGCCTCTAAGTCACTTATAATTCCAGCTGGGTTGTTTCCTCCTAAAAAGGTTCTTGTCGATCTTACACATTTCCCAGAGACTAAATTGTTTCATGTAAGATCCAATCTTTGGCAGTTTTTATGAGTGAAATGAGTGGAAATTCCTCCTATGCCACACTGTCTCCCCCCTCCCCTCTCCACCTTAGGGCGCAATGGCTGAAAGGAAAAAGCAGGATACCATATAATGCACAATAAGGTGGTGTAAGCATCCATTACACATGAATTTTCCATGATTATATATATCTTTAATATAGACCCAGATTGTGATAACTCCTAGCAGATAAAACCTACAGGAGCTAAAGAAACATGGTGGCATAAAGACTGCAGTGCTAATGAGAAAGAACTCCCTAATATACTAGACAACATGTCACCTTAGAAAGAGCAAAATTTCCAAGACCCCAGAAATGACAGTGCCTTACGCAACCAATATCATAACATTTTTTCCTTCTTTTATGACACGCAAAGATCTCTTGAATTAGACTAAACTGAAACATTTCCTTCTAAAAGGCTTTTGTGCCAGTTATTCCATGCAATTTAGAGATACGTCAAAACCTTTCTGTCCCACTATGAAACCAACACAATTCCTGAAAGCATTGCATTTCTATACTGAGAAAGAGAGTTCAGACTCTAGGTTTGAGAGTTTTGTATTCACAATTAAAATTCCATTGCATTCAGTAACAACAAATGACATCTGTGTTTGTATAAAGCATATCCATATCCGGCATCACTGTGTACTTCTAAAAAAAATAAAAAAAAAACCACAGACAGAGTATGGGAGATTTTGCAATTAGGATGGATTAGGAAATATTTTCAAAATACTACTTGGAGTTGTCCAATCTCTCCACAATTGCATAATCGGCACAGTCATGAAGAAGAAGAAAAAAAATAAAATATAAAAATAAAAAAGCACTCTAAAAAAGGTTTACGGTAACATTTGTTTGCCCCTTATGTTATATAGAAGTGGCTGCTCCACAATTAACATGCATCTTAACCCCTTAAGGACACATGACATGTATGACATGTCATGATTCCCTTTTATTTCAGAAGTTTGGTCCTTAAGGGATTAAACAAACAGCACACTGGTGATCGACAACTTTGGTTTCATCAATGTTCTTAAGCTAGAATGATCATGAACCTCAGCCATCCTTTAGTAATATGGGTTCTTTCAGATTGCTGGCTATGATCAAATGATTTCAAACCTCAAAATAGATCAAATGCCACATGCTGCTGTTCAGCACTTTTAAGAAATACTAGATAAGACTAATTAATTCATTAGGCTTACTCACAAAAATGTGAATTATCGGGAATTCAGAATGAAATCAAAGTGAATTTCAAATTGGAGGCCAAAAAAAGCCCAACAGGAAAAAAATCCCTAATTTGGTGTAATATTTGATGTTCACATACCATCTCTCATTAAGATATTATTTACCCAACTTAATAGCTGGGTATTGCCATCACTTTTATAGTGAGAGAGATATATATATTTAGTTTTTTAGACATAACTAGCATAATTTAGCATATAGATAACAATGAAACCTTTGTTCCAAAGCACTAACATTTCGATATTTCTGAAAAAAAAAAAAAAAATCCTTAATCACTGTGATGCAGTAATCTCATTAATTGTAGCACAGAGTTCAGGTTTTATTTTTTTAGTTACTGATTAAGTTCAAGTCCATATTTGGCACAAGTGCTCACAAATTCAAACACTGTACTGACCAGAACATGAAATTAGAAAGGTACAAAAGGTTCGTGACACTGGCTGCGCAACACGTGATGTAAATGGTGATAGGTCAATTACTGGCACAATACAGGTGTGATCAGAGGCATTTACATTTCATCTAGTTTTACAGGTTTCACAAGTTCATTATGGAGAACTTGATTCACCTGATACAGCAATAAGCCAACTTATATAGCTGGAATGCTTTGTGAAATATCTCTGCAATCATGATTGGTCTGACTCACACTGAACTGCTTAAAGGGACAGTTATGCCTACAATTGGAAAAATATATGTTGACCAGTACTATTTCATATAAGAGTAAAGACACTTTAAGCCTTAAGGATTATAAATGCAAAAAAACAATATAGATTCTGGGGGTGTTAAGTGAAATGGGTTAAAGGACAACTGTCACCTCAAGTCTGTTTTTTAATATAATAATATTTTGATCAAGTTTTGAAAGGAAATAGATTTTTTTTTTTTTTTAAGTTTGAAGTGTATGTAATAAACTAGCAAAACTCATCCTTCAGCCATATACATACACCTTGGGTCAGTGTTTGAAAACCAACATTTTCTATAGTCTTCCCTGCACAAAAGCAGACCATAGAGACTGTTTTCGAAAACCGTGTGACCAAAGGTACAGGTATATGCTCGACAAATCGTGACAAAGGTTGGAGCTTAAAGCAACTTCATTTGCTCCACATCATGTCTTTCCTCTAATCTCGCAATGTATCTCGCCTTCCTCGAGTGTTGCACATGCCCAGTACAATAGGGAGTGTGCATGCGCAAAATCAGAAATGAGGGGGAAGGAAGGGCAGTGACAAAATGTCACTGCCAGGCTTCTGAAGATGGCACCAGACAGGAAGAAGATCCGACAACAAAAACTAAGAACTTTTCTGAAGACCAGGGTCAGGGAGCGCAAATCAAAACAAAAAAAATCCACACAGATGCCAATGACAGAGACGCTTTAAACTTTAGGGCAGTGGTGGCCATATGGTAGAATCCCCCAAACCCTTTAAGTCAGCAAAGCTTCATAGGAGTTGTATACTAGATCTGGAGGTCTATCTTTGTGCCACCCCTGCTTTAAGGGAGTGCTGCCACAAACACTTGGCTACTGCTCAACTGTAATGGACAGTAATTTATTTGATCTGCTGGTGTCTGTTTCTGTCATAACATTGTCTGTATGACATTGTATCCCTCGCTATTTCTTTCTGTATATCCCACTCTGGCTGTGTGTACATGCCTGTTTCTATACTTGCTTGTGTCTGTTTTTCTCTGGCCTTGAACATATTCCTTTCTGGCTTGTACGTGTGTGCGCACCTTTTATACATAATCAGCCTGCCTCTCTCAAAAATAAAAATGTTCAGTGGAGTTGATTCATGACACCATTTGGAAGTGAAGGAGTCAATAGTTGGTAACTAGTCAATCTCATTGGGTGAATACCAAACTCAAGATACAAGTACCCTCACCTCCACAAAAGGGTAACAAGCTTTTTTGCTACATTCTTTTGTTCCCTCCTAAATTCTACATTTGATATATTCTAACCCAGGAATTAAAAGCATAATGTCCTATTTGTCAGTCATTTACTTGTTGTAAGAATAAATATACACATTCAAAATACAAGCTCTGTCCTCTCTAGAAACAAGCTTAGTAAATAAATGACTAAAAACGTTAGTTAAAAACATTAAGTAACATTGACGTTAAACTTTTTGCATCACCTGACTAAAGTTTGTTAAAGTAGAAACCACAAACTGCTAGGGATGGTCACTAAATATGAAAATGTGAGGAGCTAAAATTCTAGGCAAACAGCAAAATTAACCATTAACTGCTGAAAAATGCTCAATTCCAGTCTACATTTATGAATTTACAACAACTTACTGTTTTCTATTTGGCGTCATTCATTCAAGATTTATTAAGCTTAAATTTTAAACTTCCCTGTACATTCCCCACGCTTTCCAAAGATCTAAAAAAAAAAAAATGTAGTCTTGAAAAATTCTCCAACTCCGCTATAGTTACAGCTTATTTGAACCCAATTGTTGTAAGTGAAATTTTCAATTTGCTGTTTAGTTACTAAACCTAACCTTCGCATTCAAATCACATGCAATAAAAACTATTACTCAGGATTCAAAAGATGCTAATCTAATCCCAGATAACAGAGTCTGTGTAATCTGTGCAGCATTTACATTGAATCAAGTCAAAGTTCATGACTTTGGCCTTCTAAACATAAATACAAGATAAATATCTACATTAAAAAACCTTGAAGTCCATATCTCACTTTCTAACTTTCATATAATCAGCGCAATCCATGGCAGGAGTATTTAAACCAACAGAAGCACACAAAGATAAAGGTCGCTTATTGTGGACTAGAACATTCTTTGAAATAATCTTTAGCAGAGAAGTTATTGATAATCTGGTTCACTGTCCAAAAGGGCAATTTAAAACTAAAAATAAACAAACATTCTGAACCATAATGGGACATTTATCCATATGATTAACCCCTTCCCCACCAAGCAGTTTTATTCTGCAGCTGTGTTTTCCTTTTTCTGAGTATTTTGGGTGTCCTGAAATAATGTTTTAAATTTATTTTTACGTTTCAGTATGCTTAGGTAGCACATTGGTTAATGGAAACAAAATCGAAAATTTGTGTTTGACAAAAAAAAAAAAAATACCAGACACAAAAACACACGGTCTTCAAAAAAACAAAAAACAAACATACACGTACTCCTATAACAATCCCACGCCTCAGAAATTTACCCTGTTGGCATAGTGGTGAGAGAGTGTATTGTAAGACCTGTTGCAGCCATCATACATTAACCAATTACATAAAAGTTAGTTTCTATCAGATTCCCATTTTTATTAGTGAACAGATTATTTTTCTGCAGCATATCAATTCTATATATTACAGGGCAGTCCTTTTCATGTGCTGCCATTGATACGCAAATATGCTGAGTGTCTAGGACATAGTGCATCTGACAATCCTAGCTGCTTAAAAATATAGCGGGGGAATTATTTCACCTAAAAAGTGTATTTTACAATGATAGCTAGGTTTAATCGAATGTGTTGTAACGGGATACATATTGGGGAGCTTAGTTTTTAGGTTCCTAGTTTGTACTACGAACATAATGCACTTGTTTTAAAGTATATTTTTAGACAGTCAATTAATTCTGATACAATTTCTGAAAAAAAAAAAACCCAACCCAAAACATTTATATTTTGTCAAGACAATTTGTTCATAAAAATATGACACAGAGATTTATGAGATTACAAATGTTGAACCTTAGTTGATCACATTAATATAAGTGACGTTCACTAATCTGCACTCTATAGATGGAATGTGTGTTTTATTTGCATGAAAGAGTTTTATGGGAGAGTCCACATTCTGTTTGGAGACGAAGGGATTTGACAGAGAAAAGGGAAGGGGACATAAGAAAGAGATACAAATAATTCAAGACTCTAAAATGAATGAAAGGTAGTTAAAGCAAAAATATAAATTAACTACAAAGCATTATAGTTCAAATCAATAGCGAGAAGGGGAATGACTGAAAGTGTTTTTGTAACTTCCTTAATATTACACAGCTTACTGTTGGTATTTGAAGAAGTCTCCTTAGTTTCCTGATGGTGCACAGCAGAGGTACTCAGGGGGGCACTTGATAATGGCTTGAACCCCATCATCACTGGGCAATTCTGCGCATAAGAAATCAGAGACTTTCCTGCTTTTTGCAGGAAGGTCTGCGGAACTCTGGTCAAAAATGGACAGCGGCGGACAAGGGTCTCCATCTTGATCGATACCTGTTCAAACCTAAGCAAAAAAAAAAAAAAACATAAAATTCAGTCAAGGTTATTAACTTAAAACAAAACAAAAAAATAATGTAAAGGAATCTGCCTAACAAAAGGTAGAAAACCTCCTTACTGAAATTTCCTCCTAAGTAGAATCATTCCAAGGTAATGGCAAAGTAACAAAAATAATAAAAACTTGATTTAAATAAGATCCTAAAGTTAAAATTTGATAGATGAGTAAAGTGAAAAAAAGGAGAGCATGAGAAAGTGTCTTGTAATATTCAACAAGTATAAAGCGTATTGAAAAATCCCTATTAAGGTATAAAAAAAAAATCCCTATATAAAGCCCAAGTGTGCTGCATACACAAAACAATATGTATAGTATAGCCTTTGAATAGCAAAACGTCCAAGGTGCTCAGGATATCAGATGCACTGCAGGCAGCATACAGAACATGTAGCCTGTGAAAAGATAGTCAGAGACAGGTAATAGCCAGTGGGGTTCTATGAATATCAGAGTAGTGGGAGTAGACATGCATCTAATTGAATGGAGGCATAACCCCACAATAAAACCAATGGCTGCCAAACCCAACTCCCAAAACAGCCGTGCTAATAACCCTCAGTAACTAGGAGGCTATCCAGAGAAATGGCTACAGATATCCAACCTAATCACCCAGGCCAGGCAACCTTTGGCACTCCAGCTGTTTTGGACTACACCTCCCATGATGCTTTGCCAGCATTATGGGGGATGTAGTCCACAACATCTGGAGTGCCGAAGGTTGCCTATCCCTGCCTAGGCTCTCAGCTGCTTTGTGGCAGCTAAAAGATTCTATGTAGCTTGCCCTGCGTGTTTAACATAAAGAGCAGCAGCTAACACAAGTGGATAGATAAACTATTCTCCCCTCAATAGAAACGTGAATTAAAAGAATAAGTGCATGGACACACTAAGGTTACTAACTAAACTGAGATTACTTGGGAATATACTAGGAAATTTCAGATGTTATGATATCATGCAAGGTAAGATAATGGAATAGGATAGAAAACTGCACTTTGAAGTCTCTAGCAGAAAAGAATCACACCCAATGGTAATGTTAATTTCTAGGATTTTAGTTGAGTTACTTTACAGCAAACCAAGCATCTTTATTTTATGGAAACACATGTATAATCAAAATAACGCTCAATAATGAGTAAATGAACAAAAAATATGTACTGCACATTTGGCATCATTAAAAAAATAAAATAAAAAAAAATACCTCACACACAAACAGACTACACCACATTTGTATCAAGGACAAACCTAAACCAAAGTTCTACATGGAGCAATCAGAGTGCAATTGAATTTGTTTCCATGGTGACTGTTCCACTTTTTGAACTTTGGCCCTTAAATATTCTTACTAATTATATATATATATATATATATATATATATAACCCAATATTTATTATTACACAATAATAATTGAAACATACATACAGGAAACATACACACAAAAATATATATATATACACACACAATTACACATAAATAAATATATTTCCCCATACACTGTGATCATTGCAGTACATGTATACTGGGTGTAGATGTGTGAGATGTTTCTGCCATTATTGATAATGACTGTAGGACACTCACTGTAGTTGTAGCTGGTCGCTGTCCCTCCGGTCTGATCCTTGCACAATGTCACCTGGGAATGAAAGGTCTTCCGGCTGATCCCTTACAGAACACTCAGGAGAGTCTGTGCGCCCATTGGCTGAGACGATACTCCTCCCACGGTTTGCCCGCACGTCACTCGGCTGCTCTCTACCAAGTGCGCATGCGCGGGGTATAATGACGTCAGCAGATCATGCAAGGAGTTCTTGTGCTACTCAATGAGAGTACTTCCAGCCCTCCTGGGAACTGCAGCTTGTAATATCATCATATCAGTTCTCAAGGAAATGGAGATAAGGATATTTTCAAAATTTAATTTTTATGTTGTATATTAAATAAAGGACAGTTTTTTTTAAATCTTGTATTCAGAGTATAGGTAGCCCAGAGAGACATTCCTGGCATACCATGATTGCACCAGTGATGCTGTATCCCCTATTTTATCTAATTTGTCAGGATGTTGGATGTGTGTGTACATTAACCTGCCCCAGGTCTGTGGTGGCATAAACTCAGACACAGAAAAATATGTATTTATGGGTGTGATAGGTGTCTTCCCAATATAATTACTGTGATATGGATAATTTGTTTTTGTTTGGTTTTTAATATTATATAGAAAGTAAAATAAAATACTGACATGTTTTTGATTAATCCACATTGGCTTTTTGATTAATAAGTTGAAATTTAATGAATTTGTGTTATTTGAGTTGCATGTAACTTGTGTGAGTGCCTAGAAGGGAGTTTTTTTTTAACTAAAAGGTGAATTGTGATAAACTGATAAAGTTTCCAATGTAAAAATATATCTGTTACTGTATACACAACTTTATTTTTCATGTACGTAAAATAGCATAATTGTTAGTAAATGTAGTTTTTTTTTGTTTGTTTTTTAAAGACTGAATTAAAATATGATATGGTTCCTTCTCTCTCCGGTCATTCAATTCCCTACATGCAAGGATATTGGGGTTATTCACTAAAGGCAAGCTGCCCTGTGCTGAATTGGGCAAAACTATCCAGCTGTATACAGAACCATTCGAACTGCAAAATCTCTCTGTTATCCTTGAATGGGCCTGAATTTGGACTGGATTTCGGCCACACTGAATGCTGGCAGATGGTTAAAATCTGTGCCAAATTCTTCAAAGAGGCTTCAAATCGGGGCTGGGTTTAAAAAACAAATCACCAGCAAGCAGGCATATAGATTATATCTCTCTGTTGGGGGAGGGTTAATTAAGTAGAGGTTTGCCAGCGATTGCAACCCGGCGGCCACATTAAATATAAGTAACGAGGTGTGGAGAGTTCTCTACTCACCCTCCTGCCCCTATCTCTGGCCAGGTGGTGGGGCTACTTAATAAAATAAATAGGGTGGCATCCTTATTATAATATAAAGTAGGGGGGAAGAAAAATCAAAAATGCGACGTAATAAAATTTATCTTTCTTCACCCATGGATGGCTCCACACAGACTAAGCTCTGATAGCGGGGAAAGCTTTCCCATGCTATGTCAGCTTTTACATTGACTACAAGGACATTATTACATTTCGTAGGAAAATCACACACTGTGTCAGGCATAGGCAACCTTCGGCACTCCATATTTTTTTGGCTACAGCTCCTATGACGCTTTGCCAGCATGATGGGTGTAAGAGCATTATGGGGGATCTAGTCCACATCTGGAGTGCCGAAGGTTGCCTATCCCTGCACTATGTGATATCAGTAAGAGTGGTCTGTTGGTTGGCTAGTAAGCCATCCAATCAGAGTGCTCTGATAGACAATTTTCACTTCTCTCGAAACTTGACTGTCCTATCGTCCTATACTTGGTGAATTCTTTGATATGCTGTGAATGTTTTTGATAGAGTTAAGGGCAATAAATCAGTAAATTTTTATCTATATCGATTTTACGCCAAAATTATATATTAAGCTTGCAACTATTAACTTACCATATACTTATTTCCCACTACAATATTATTATTTATTATATTTTTATAGGTTTGCTGTTTCTCATGATTTTTGTTGTTTGTATTGCTTCTAGTGGGAAGTTGTCAGGATGCATAATCAAAACAGCATGTAGTACTTGAACCAACACCTGTCCTAATACAGTAGAATACAAGACATATGCATACTACTGGTCCCTAGAGTGGTCGGGCTTCATTCTTTACTTAAGGTAAAGGTGGCATAAGAGTGATCAGAAAATGAGCCAAGGTCAGGGATTACAGATGTCACACAAACAATAAACAAAGCCGAGTCAAAGGGAGCCAAAGGACAGAATAATCAATTCAAGCCGTGTCAAATGCCAAAGAATTACTGAGACACAGGAATGCTCTATTGGTTAAAGGACCACTATAGTGCCAGGAAAACATACTCGTTTTCCTGGCACTATAGGGTCTTTGGGTGCCCCCACCCTCAGGACCCCCTCCCGTCGGGCTTTAGGGTGAGGAAGGGGTTAAACACTTACCTTTCTCAACATCTGAGGAAAGGGATTTAGGGGTGATTATTTCTGATGACTTAAAGGTAGGAAGACAATGTAAAAGAAGAGCAGCAGGAAATGCTAGCAGAATGCTTGGTTGTAAAGGGAGAGGTATTAGCAGTAGAAAGAGGGAAGTGCTCATGCCATTGAACAGAACACTGGTGAGACCTCACTTGGAGTATTGTAAGCAGTACTGGAGACCATATCTTCAGAAGGATATTGATACCTTATAGAGAGTTCAGAGAAGGGCTTCTAAACTGGTTCGTGGATTGCAGGATAAAACTTACCAGGAAAGGTTAAAGGATCTTAACATGTATAGCTTGGAGGAAAGACGAAACAGGGGGGGTATGATAGAAACATTTAAATACATAAAGAGAATCAACACAGTAAAGGAGGAGACTATATTTAAAAGAAGAAAAACTACCACAACAAGAGGACATAGTCTTAAATTAGAGGGACAAAGGTTTAAAAATGATATTAGGAAGTATTACTTTACTGAGAGGGTAGTGTATGCATGGAATAGCCTCCCAGCTGAAGTGGTAGAGGTTAACACAGTAAAGGAGTTTAAGCATGCGTGGGATAGGTATAAGGCTATCCTAACTATAAGATAAGGCCAGGGACTAATGAAAGTATTTAGAAAATTGGGCAGACTAGATGGGCCAAATGGTTCTTATCTGCCGTCACATTCTATGTTTCTATCTTTCTCCAGCGCTGGGCTCCCTCCGTGCTGGAGACTCTCCTCCTCCTTTCCCGTCATCGGCTGAATGCGCATGTGTGGCAAGAGCTACGCGCGCATTCAGC